GATAATTAAAATTTTTTTAGTTCTTGAGTGATTACTCATTTGGGTAAAAATCATGATAGTGGTGAGAGAACTCTGAATTATAGTGTAATGATAAGAATGGATGGAACTATTTAAAGGTAGTTTGTTTCATATATGTGAAAGTGATAGTGTTGAGGTGGATGAGTTGAATGATTATAGTATAAATGTAGTAAATATTATAATATAGATTAATAGGTTTAGGATTGTTGTGGTTGGATTCTAAATTATGATAGCTGTTATTCATCCTCTGTGAGTAATTGATGAATAGGCTATGATTTTTCGTTGCTGAGTTTGATGAAGTCCTCTGCATCCTCCGACTAGGAATGATATAATGGTTACAGTTACTAGTATGTTTAAGTAATAGATGGTGAGATTTGATATAAAATTGATATCAGTGCAAGGTTTTGTCATATTAATAAGATCAGGCCTGAAAATAGTGGAATTCCTTGAGTAACTTCAGGTATTCCAAAGTGAAAAGGAGAAAGTCCAAGTTTTTTGATCAACGCTATAGTTATGATGGTGGCTGCTGTTGGAGTAAATATTTTTGTGACAGTTCATTGACCAGAGTATAATAGGTTAATAACGATGACTATTATCAATGCGGAGGCTTGTGTTAGAAGGTATTTAGTGGATGCTTCTATGGCTTGTGGGTTAAATTTGTTTTATGAGAATTGGGGTGATGGCTAATATGTTTATTTCAAAATCAATTCAGACTGTTAGTCAATGTAAGCTTGTTATTACAATTACAGTTCCTAGAATGACAGTAGCTATGGTAATGATAAAAATAAGGGGATTTATTAGTACAGGAAGGATATAAACCAACACTTTTGGGGTATGGGCCCAAATAGCTTATTTGGCTGATCTTACTATAAACTATAGTGTAATTAAGTTAAATTCCAATAATTCTAGAAATAATGTTTCTTAAAACTTTTATCATTTAGTCTATCAAAGTAACTCTTTTATCAGACATATTTCTTAGGTTTGTGGTAGAATGCTTGATCTAATGATTTGTAAATACGTGTCATATACAGAGGGCTAGTGTCAGTGGTAGAAAACTTTTTCATAGAAGATCTACCAGTTGTTCATGTCAGAATCATAGATAAGATGCTCAGATTCATTAAAGGGAGACAGTCAATAATAGATATGGTTTTGGGCAAAAGTTAATTTTATGTAGCTCTGGTTATGTGAGGATTGTGGAATGCTCCTAAAGATAGGATGTTGCAAAGATATTTTTTATGATACTGTTGGCGTACACTGCCAACAAAAACAGTGCAAATGAATCTGCCACACATTAAACATTGAAGCCTAAGATGAATTCTGTTTTGCCTTCTGTTAAATCGAGTGGAGATTGTTTAGTTTCTGCCAGGGTCAAGATGAATCATGGGGAGGTCAATTTCACTGATTAAAAGAGAGAGTGTGTCCATTCATACAAGGGCTTATTTAGAGAACAAATGACTATGCTACCTTTGCAGGGTCAGGGTACCCCGGCCAGTAAACAGAAGTCACCAGGCAGGCAGTGCCTCTACTAATGGAAATGCTAGAGGTCATGTTCTTGGTAGCCAGGCAGGGGTTGTGTTTGCCGAGTTCCTTTTACTTTTGTAAAATCTTTCCTTAATTGCATCCCAATGTTGGATTAGCAGTTGACTTGATAAATAATTAATTGTTAGGTGGGATTTATCTTGCTGTTAACTATCAGTGGGTTCCATTCTGATACAACCTTATACAAGGAGACACAGTTCTTGTTACTCATATTAACAGTATTTCTTCTATTGTTTAATAGATTAGTCCAGTGTTAAATTAGCAGTTAGTTTTATTGTTGAAATTAGGATAAACATATTGTTGAGCTTGAGTGCTTTCCTAGTTGGTGGCTGCTTTTAAGACCAGCGATGGTCTTGTTTACACTTAATCTCTAAGGAAGATTGTATCCTTTATCTAGAAAACTGGATCTTTTTAGAATATAATTTAAATTTACATTGGAATTATCATTTTTAAAGGCAAATTTAGAGTCAAACTAAAATTCTCTTCTGGACAGCCAGCTATCACCAGGTTTGTTAGGCTTTTCACCTCTACTTTCAAATCTTCTGTTTTGCCACATAGATGAGCCCGTTCTATCAAAACTGTTCATAAGCAGCTCGTCTGGTTTGGGGGCATTTAAGTTCTCTTTGTTGAATTGCTCTAGTTAACTCATTATGCAAAAAGTAGAAGGAGTAAACTTTGCTGTTTAGCACTTGCAACATTTCTTTCATCATTCTTTATAGTGCCAATTAATATTTCTATCTCCTATTCTTTTAAGTTTGGGTGTTTTATTTAATTTGTGTTAGTTGAATTTTGGGGGGCTAGCTTTAGTTCAAAGCAGTCATTTAATAAGAAATCTCCCGAGTGTAAACTAGGTATTTTATTTAAGCTACATTTTGATTTATCCAAGCACACTTTGCATTATGCTTACCTTATTACGATTTATCTTCTCTTACATGTTTAGTAATTATTAAGAGGTTCTACATGGGTTTCAGTATTTGAAGCAGGTGGTGTGTGTATACTTCACAGCCTAATTCAGTGAAGCTAGCTAGTCTTCATTTACTTCTAAATCCTCCTTTAGTTTGTAATTTCATCAAGACTTACGTTTAAGTTTTTTGTCCTTGAGTAGAAAATGCAGCCCATTTCTTCCCATCCCATAAACTATACCCTGACCTAACATTTTTATGTTATGTATTTGTGCTTACCATAGTTCCTTTTTTAGGATTTTCTGAGGATGGCAGTATATAGACTGAGTTAGCAAGTGTGGGTGAGGTTTATCAGGGTTTATAGATTTACAGGACAGGCTCCTTTAGAGGAATATAAAGCACTGCCAAGTCTTTTGAGTCTTAGGCTATTGCTAGTAGTACTCTTGATGGGTTATCTTTTTGTGATAATTATTTGGGTTTAGGGCTAAGCATAGTGGGGTGTTTAACCCTACTTTGGGTTTTAGCTACTGTGTAGTCAGAACTGTTAGTCACTTTTGTTGCTTATTTTATTTTGGTTGTAGCTTTTTACAGCTGAATTAAAATGTAATTGTATGAATGTCTTTAACATGCTGCACCCCAGAATTTTATTAATTTCAGTAAATTGTATGACCATGGTAGCTGGCACAAAATTTATCAACCCTAATTAATATCTCTTAGTCAAACTTTCATATATTGCCAAATTTTTGTCACTGGTGTTTTTAATGGGTGGTTAAGCAAGGCATTATGAGAGCTACATTTTGATGTGCTTGATGTCTACTCCTTTTCATCCTAGTAGTGTATCCTCAACTGGGATGTGGATATTTGCATGTGCAATCATGTTAAAAATTAACAGAAAGATGGGGACTAAACCTATGTGTTTATGGAGTTAGCACATTCATCTAGGCATTTTCAGTGCTTAGCTTTAATTATTAAGCTACATTAACAAGTTAGGTTGTGAGTGCGTCTAGGGAGAGTTCAGTCAATTGGAATTTACATATGTAAAGTAGTACATTTATATGTACTGGGGTCATTACTTATAGTAAGTTCTATATACATGCTTATAACTAGGGTCAATTTGCTGGGTCTGTTGAATTACTTTTCTTTGCTCACTGTGGGTGAGGCTCAGTTTATTTGTAATTGTTACTCTATTAAATGTACTTAGATTTTGATCTGTGTTGAAGAAATTTTAATTTGTGGGGATGTCTGTCTGTGGTTAGTTTATGAACCTAAGTAGAGCTGGTGCTCTAGGTATTTTTGAGTAGGATTGGAGAATGTGGGCATGTTGTTTGTTTTAAAGTTTTATTAATAGTTGGTTAATTATGGTTATGAATATTGGATGGGATATAGGCCTTGTATAATTTATGTTCTTAATCTTGCTTTGGGGGGTTGGCAAGATATAAACAAACACATAAAGTACAAGCTCTGCTGGGGACGTGAGGGTTTGGTTAAACTAAGTGCTTATATGTACTTGTATATGTATGTGTACATGAGAGTTTTCTTATGCCCTGTAACATTGACTGAATGTTATGGTTTGTAATGTTGGTAAACAATATTCAATTAAAGCTCAGCTACAATTTGCTTGACTGTGTTAAGATCTCTGATGGCTATAGCCAAGTTCCTGCATGTCCCCAAATTAAAAAATACCAAATGTATGACACCATGGTTATGTGTGAGCATGAGCTGATTAGTCATTAGTCCATTGAGATGTCTTATTTAAGTCAAAGAGTGGACAATTTTAGATGAAATGGTCCTGAAATAAGAACCAGATGCCAGATAAAACTCGTTTGTAGAAACTGCCACAATTTATGGGCCTGGAGTGGGAAGAGGTATGCAATTGTGGGTTACTGGTTTCAGGTGGGTTGGTGATTAAGCTTTTCTACAGGTTATGACAAGCATGTTACCTGGAAATGATTTGACTCAGTGGGTTATGTCTGATTAATAATTATTATGTCATACCAACCATCAGTATTTATGGATGATAAATCATGAAATGTATTATGTAATAACGTTTTGTGTACATGCTTATAACAGTGTGGTAAATCCTTAATGATTATATATATTATGTACATTTAATGAAATGTGTGTAATAGTGTATGTGGGAGACCGCGTAGTGCACAAATTACATAGTCATGGAATATATTAATTTGTTTTTAATACTGGCATATTAACATGAAAATAATCTTCACTTTTCGTGTATATTAATTACACCAAGGAGAACTTAAGCAGAATTTCAGCTTTGGGTGCTGATGGTGGAGCTAGGTTGTACAACTTCAAATGAGGATACATGAAACAAGAAACTTTACATGTGATTCATTATCTCCCAACAGGATTGTGGGGAACATATGAAATACAACTGGCTATCTACATTGGGAAACACTACTGCAGAACAGCATACAATTTGAAAAAAAAGAAATGTGAAGTATTTACACAAAATATTCTATCTTGTACTGTGATAATCCAGTATCATCTCTGCGAATTATGGGCTGTACAAAGGCCCAAGCAGAAAAAATACAGGTTTATTTTATACAAAGCAGCGGCCGTGTCCCAGAGCTCCCCAGGGGCGGAAGGCGCCCCGAGGGCAGGGCCTGGGCCCTCAGAGCGGCAGCAGCGGGCCCAGCAGCAGCTCGCCCTGGCCCCGCAGGCGGCCCCGCTCCAGGCCGCGGCCCTGCTTCTCCGCCTTGACGCGCACGGCCAGGCGGCGCACCTCGTCCTCCGACAGCCCGTCCAGGCACAAGTCCTGGTCCAAGGCGGCCTCGCGGCTCCGCCGGACTACGGCGCCGCGCTGCTGGCGCGTCTTGCCCGGCGGCTGCAGGACGAAGCTCAGGCGGCAGCCGACGGCGCGGGGCTCGGCGGTTCCCGCGGCCTGTCCCTCGGCGCGGAGCAGCCCGATGCGGAGGCGCCCGCTGGCCCGCCTGTACTCGGCGGCCAGGCGCAGGGCGCCGCCGGCGCGCCCCAGAGCCACGGTGCCCTCGGCCTCCAGGCGCTCGGGCTGCGGGCCGGGGGACGGCGGCGGAGACGCGGAGGGGCCGCGGGCCGGGGTCCTCGATCCGGCGCCGCGCTCCTGGTCCTCGTCCCCGCGGGAGACTGAGCGGACGGGGGCCAGGCCGCGGCTCCCGCGGGCCCGCAGCGCGCGCCGCAGCAGCCCGTCAGGGGCGCGCAGGAGCCGGCGGCCGCGGGGCGGCGGGGCGCGCGAGTCCCGGGGCTGAAGAGCCCCGCCGGGGGCGGAGGGGACCCCGGCCTGGGGCGCACGCGGGGCGTCTCCCCTCGCGCCGCCGCCGCCGTAGGTGTGGGCCCGGGGGCGGAGCGCGGGCCGGGCGGCGGACGGCTCCAGGAGCGCGGCGCCGCGGGCGTCCCCGAGGAAGAGCGACTCCCTGCGGCGGGTGTGCGGGCTCTCGAGCAGCGCGCAGAAGCCGTAGGCGGTGCGCGCGCGGGGCAGGTGCTGCAGCGAGAGCGCGGCCTGAGAGCGCGGGTCCCAGTCGGTGCGCCCGTCGCCGTCATCTGACCCAGCTTTTTCGCTCCAGGAGATCCGGAGTCCATCCAGGGCTGGGCAGGAAGCGAGTCGCGGGGGAATGCAAAATTCGGGGATGCGGTCGGGTGTGAGCACGTTGGCGCACGCGGCGGGCGTGATGGCCGAGGCTCGGCTGGACCGACCCTTAAAAAGCTCGTTCCTGCCCTGCAGAGGGCGCTGAAAACCCAAGCGAAGCCGCTCCAGGCACCACATCAGGCGGGAGGTGCCGAACCCGAGCGACCTTTCCGTGGAGCTGGTTGGTTTGCAACGCACAATCGCACAACAGAAGTCAGCGCGAGCCCTGCAGGGCACAGCAATTTCCGCGTTTCTTCTGCTTTCGGGGCGCTTTCTCCTGCCTCGGCCGGGACAAGGCAAATAGTCCTTCACGCTGCTATTGCAAACTGTTTCAGTGATTGTAAAACAATCGTTTTTCTTTTATTCTGTCTCTATTCCGTAGTCATGTACACTTCGGGGTTTGTGGCTTCATTCTCAATCCGCCTTCGCAGTCCTAAGGAGGAGTTCTCAAAATGTTGGCCTTTAACTGGTCTCGCTGTCCTCGATGCCAAGAAGTACTTTGCTAGTGCAGTCTTACCTGCCTCCTTGGATTATTGCACTCTAGTCTTCAGAGTGAATTAAAATAACAGTAATCACCTCCAGGACACTCACCGTGTTCTTTCTTTTTAGGCAGAAAGATGCTCAGACGAGCCCCCAGAGGAGTTAAGCAAGACTATGGGTGCCTCCTAACGTACCTGACGTCCGTGGTCAGATGGGTGTCCGTACCGTTCTGCCTAAGGCACCGACCTGGAGAGGAGCGCAGCTTCTAGGAAATTCAAAGAGCACGCGGCAGAGTTCAGTACCGCTGTTCAGGGATAGCTGGCCTGAAGCCTTTATACTGGGGCGCGAATCATCAGCCGACAGGTGGGCGGGAGCGGAGTTAGTCCGTAACCTGATGCCAGGACTTCCAAGCTGCCACGTGGCTGGATATGCTGAGCGAATTCAAGATCCATTTCTCTTGCCTAGGGTGGGGAATGTTATGCTCGGAAACCCTGAACAAGTTTCTATATCCTCACGTAAAAAAGAGGGTTAAATTTTGACTATATCGCAGAGTCATTGTGAGGATCGACGGAATAATGAATGTGAAATCACAGAAACAATCACCACTAAAAAAGATTTAAAGTGGGGTTCGTCTTATTTTTACCCGATACAGTCCCCCAAATCCAGCTTTCTGGTTGCCCCGCTTCAAAGTTCCTTCCCTGCTTTCTGGTTTTCAGTCCTGATATTAAATTTTTTTTCTTTGTTGTTTATAAACCATTCTGAATACCGGGAACCTTATGGAGTGCTGAAAATATTCCATATCTTGATTTGGGTGGAGTTACAGGAGTGTATCCGTCTGTTAAAAAATCAGCATACCCTGAAGATTACATGTAAATTTGTATGTACCTTAAACTTCAATTTAAAAAATCACAGCCCTATTCTTAAACCATGTGTTTTGATTTTTGACTGGGAAAATACTGCACTGTTGGAACCAGCCCTTGGGAACATCCTGACCACATCTGGCCTTCCTACCCTATGTCCATCTGACAGACGCTTTTTCTTCCTTCTGAAATCTGACTTCTGTGCAAGCTGCTTCCAGCTAGCTCAGGTTAAAAGGGATCTGAGGCATTTATACCCAGGTTTAAGGCTTGGGTATATGCTATTTCTTACTCAAAGGCAGTATTTACTGAATGCTTCCTGGATTCCAGCCACCATGCTATTCAGGCAGATCCAGGCTGTTCCAAGATCATATCAGCTATGTACATCTGTTAAGAGAGGAATGAAATGATAAGGATGAAATACTTGAATTCCATCTGGCTGAGGCAGGAGTTAAGAAGAGATTATTGAACATTACCTATTTAATTTGGGGGCCAGCATTGGTGCGTCCCTGAGTCACCATGCCCTTGACTAGCTACTTCTGTGTCTTTATATCATTTCCATGCCTGGACAAAATTCTTGGGCTAGTGCTAAATCTATGGGGGAATAATCATTAAATTATATACCCAAGGGTCAAGTGTGTGTGTTTTGACTCAACTTTCCTCAGGAGACAAGATGCTGTTAGGTCTGCAAGTGAAAACCCAAAGAGACCCTGGTTAGAATGGTGAGGCTCACAATCTGGGAAGTCAGCTGAGAAGTAACTAAGCAAAGCTACGTTGTAGTGGGAGAAAGACCAAAAGCACCAGGGCAACAGAAATGATTAAGGGGTGAATACACAGAGACTTTGAAGTGAATCTGTCCTTGGTTTGAATCTGTTATGCAGCTTTTTAGTTATGGGACTGTGGGCAAGTTAATTAAACTCTTTGAGCCTAAGTTGTAAAATGAGGGTAAAAATACTTGTTTGTGATTGTTGTGATGGTTAAAAATCATGAGATGACTGACACATAGTGAGTCCTACCTAACAGCTGTTGTTATTATACAGGTTAGCTTGGTCAGGGATTAGCTGATTCACACATGGATTCCTTTAAAAACATTTCTCTTCTTGGCCAAGCAAAGCATATTTGCTTTGTTTTCATTAATAATTCACCTTCTTCAGTAATGCTTTAGAAGCATTTCCTGTATAAGATTTCTTGAAAACAGTGGACATGCTCTCGCATGACTGGTCCTCTGTGACCACATTATGCCTTATGTTTTATTTACCTCGGAAGCATGAGCCTCACAGTACTTGGGAGGGTACTGTAATGGGGTCAGTTCCTGTGCCTGGAACACACAAATCTATTCAGAGGAAGACTGTGGCCATTCTGAGCTCACAAATATAGCCATAGAAACATCCAGTTATGGAGCTGGAAAACAATTCTATGAAGTAAGCATAAATAGATCACATACCACTGAGACAGGCGTGCTGTTGGAATAGAAGGAAACTGAGCAATTTAAAGATTTAAAAATAGTATACAGGAGATTCAGTGTCAAGGAAAGCAATAACAAGAGGGTTTACAACCAAATAAAATACTAGTGTCCTGATTTACCCATCTTTTTCAACAGAACTGGAGTGTGGAGTAAAGGGAAGAACACAGACCAGGCAGTCAGGCACTTCAGTTTTGGCTCTGTTACTAACTTTATATGGGACTTTAGCAAGCCCTTTAATTCTCTCTCGTACTCAGTGTCTGCATCTGTCAAGTGAAGGGGTTGGATTAACCAGATGTTTGTTTTCTTCCAGCTCTAACATTAAGCATCCTCTCCAGTGCTTTCCCCAGCTTAACCTTCGAAAGTTTCTGGCAGTCCATGGGGTCATGTTATTATCTAGCTTTCTTTTCCATTTCCTTTTTTTCCCATATACCTTTTGCCTTTCTCAGCAAACTCCAGGGTTGGGAAATAGGGGTGAGGGTACTGGGTACTGTGAAGTTAGAATTTCTCATTTTACAAATTTGTAAGGAACAGTTGTTAGTTTTTAAAAAGTGTTCCTAATTTTGACTCTTGCTTTTAACAGAGGTAATATTTTGCTCATCTGTTTTTGTTACTCAACCCCTCACTGCAAGTTAGTTTTGCAATTTTCTTTGTTGTCCGTTTCATTGTTTTTATGTGAAAACTGCATTTTTCTTCAGTTAACCTTTGTATCCAAATTCCTTTTTGTATAGTGCTACACATTAGAGTGCTAATGGTATTTCTTGACATTCGTTATAGTTTGAATCACGACTGTAAATGTTCAACTTCAAGAAGTATGGAAAATTTGGGACATCACTGTGTGCACATAGTACCTCAAAACATACCTAGAAAATATCAAAATTTAAAAGTGTTTTGTACTATATGGTAATAGCATTATTTGTACTGGCAATTTTGATCTGAATTTTCCACCTCTACTCTGTCATTAACTTTTCAAATAAGATAGATGAGAACTACCACTAGCCTAGTGGTGATTTAAGTATATTTATTGAAAGAGAAAAAGGTGGCTGTACTGGCTCAGAAAAGCTGAAGGAAATTAATACCTGCTGGGTAATTTTAGATAAATCACTTAAAATTCCTGATATTAATTTTCATATAAAATTTGAACAATACTGCACTAATGTCCAGGTCTTTTGGGAGAGTTACATGAAAATGCAGACCTTGTTATAATAATGGCATGATAGCTCATGAGGTATAACTGAAGAACTATTAATAAAATGGAATAATACATATGAAAACACAGTATGCCCTTATTCTCCAAAAGTACAAAGTACCATAAATGTGCAAGGAATTATTGCACAAGCATTAGTATTGTGCATTTGTCCTACCAGATTAGGCTTTCTGTTCCAATCTCTTGACCACACTATTCTGCCTGTTGCATCTTTCATTTCATCTTTCACTTTTATTCATACATCCTTGCATTGTTTTGTTTCTTAGCTTTTAATGGTGCAGGCTTACCCCAGCAGGAATATAATACTGGTTTTTTGCATTCCTGTCAATGCATAGCTGGTGTGAATATACAAGGGGTGAGGGGTTGTTGGAGGAGGGTGGGTGGACTAGAAACCTGGGGACAGATTTAGGAGGGCTTTTGGAACACTGGAAAGTTATTGGATGTTTTTGAATGGGTGTCTAACCTGAGGTCTCCAGTGCTTTGGAGAACTAGCTCCAGTGGCAGTGTGCAGATGGATGAAGGAAAAAACTGGAGGCTAAGAGGCCAATTGTATGATCCAGGTGAGATATAAAGAGAATTAGGAAATAGAGCGAAAGCAGAATGGACAGGTTTGGTTGTTAATTGGTTATGGACAGTGAAGGAAAGCAGCAAAAGTGACTGTTAGGTACTGTGCCAGGGTGACTGCTAGGTATTGTGCCAGGGTTAGGAAAACAAATGGTTAAGGATTTTTATTTTCTGTGTCAGTAGTGGAGAATGGCTGTGCTTATTGATAGTACTGGTTAGTATTGGTTCTTTATTTTACATTCATTTTATATAACATCAATTGTAGAAATGTTGGCTGTTTTTTTCCTTTTCTCCAATGGACTTGGAATTTAAGAAATGGTTTTTCTTTTTGATCCTATCTTAGTGCATTTAGCCTGGTGTAAGGAAATTCCATAGACTGAGTGGTTTAAAAACAATGCAAATTAATTTTTTCCAGTTGTAGATGCTGGAAAGTCCAAGACAATGTGATGCGGGCTTCAGCACCTGGTGAGGGCCTGCTTCCTGGTTCATTGGTGGCCATCTTTTTGATAAATCCTCACAGGCATAAAGGGCCGGGCATCTCAGTGGGTACTAACCCCATTCAGAGGTACTCACATTGGGTGTTAGGAATTCAACGTATGAATTTTGAGGGGACACAGTCTACAGCAGGCAGTTCAAGAGAATTTCACACATATAGAGATTACTTGTAGCAAAGCATTTAATAAACGCTTGTGACTACAAATAATCTTAACATTTCTTAGGTTTGTTTAGTGTATCTCAACAGCTTATTGAAATGTAATTTAGGGAAAAAGTCTAGTTCTCTTAAGATAATTGGTTTCCCCCACCTCCCACTTTTAAATATAGTTTCAACAAGCAAAAAGAAGCAGAGAGTTTGTCCCAGGCTGAGTTAATCTGTACAAGGAAAAGGGTACAGGGTCTCCTCTTCCCCACCTGACCCACAGGTGCAGGGGTGGTGACTTAGGAGGCGCTCCGAGTGGACTGGAGGCCTGGGAAGCTGCTTTCGCCCCAGACTGTGACCCTGGCCCGAGGACATTAGGAGGCCGGCAAGCAGAACAGCCACAGAAACGTCCCTGTGCTCAGTAAATTCTGCCCTCCTTTTTTTCCCAAAGCCGGCTTCCACACCGCTCCTCGGTCCGAGGCTGCCACGATATCACAGAGCGGCGGCCAAGTCCACACACCCCCAGGTTCGGGGCGGGGGCGGGGGCGGGGGCGGGGGCGGCGGCGGCGGCGGCGGCGGCGGCGGCGGCGGCGGCGGCGGCGCGCCTGCGCACAGGCCGGGTCACGCGCGGCGAGGGGGCGGGCCTGCGCCCGAAGGGCTGTCATTTGCCGCCCGGGTTGCCGCCCTCGGCTGCGTCTGGGTTCGGCCTCCGCCCGGTCCCGCAGCCTCAGGCCCACCATGGTGCTGGAGTCGGTAGTCGCAGACCTGCTGAACCGCTTCCTGGGGGACTATGTGGAGAACCTGAACAAGTCCCAACTGAAGCTGGGGATTTGGGGCGGTAAGCGAGAGGGCGCGGCCGGCGGGCTGCCGACGCTGGCAGGGGTGCCCACGCCGCGGGCTCCTCCCGTACGGACCCAACAACCTCCGCCGCCGGAGACTCCTCCTCCCGGGCGGGGGCGCTCGGCGGGGACCCCTCTCCGGGCGGCAGGTCTGAGGACCCCCGGAGGCCTGTGCCCGCCTCCGCCGCCACGGGGACCCCGGGTTCCGGTCTGGATTGGGGAGGTGCGGCCGAGTCGCGTTCTCGCACCCGGAGTTCCCACCTTTAGCATCCCAGACGCCGAAACTCCTTTCCTTTTCGGCCCTGGCCATTGGGGTGCCCCTCTCGCGGCCCTCAGCATGGCTCCTGGGGCCCCACAGCATTACAAAACCCTTTCTGCTCTTGCACCGCTTGGAGTGAGGATAGCTGTGTGGTCACACACGTCCAAATAAAGTGGCACCTAGGAAAAAGAAATTGCATTTTCTCTTTAGGATTGCTGCGTTTAGGAAGGGATCAGCAGGGGAAGATTGCTACGAGAAAGTATGGCTTCTAATGACTTTTTCCCCTTAATAGTTACGTTCCTTCATTAAGAAAAGGACTTTCAGTTTTGCTTTGGAGAGAAATAGAAGGAAATTCAAACCACGACCAGCATCGTCATTAGTTGCATTACCAAGAATTTAGGCCAGCGTTTCTGTCCTCAAGGTTAAGTGTATAGAAGTAGGTAGTAGCATATTTGCACACTTCAAAAAGCTAATTATTTGCACTAATGACATGTTAAGCTTTGGGGACATCGGGGGACACTTTCTCACTGTATAAAAAGACTTTGGGGAATTTTGTCAGCTTTGGAGAGAAATTAAAATAACTACTCGAATGGAACTGCTTTTAATTCAGTCAACAGATAGACCCGTGCTCCAGTAGGGTAGCCACTAGCCATGGTGGCAGTTGAGAAGTGTGGTTTAGTGCTAATTGAGATGTGCTCTAATTATAAAATAACTGAGTCTTGAAAATACTCAGTAGGAGAAAACGTGTAATATCTTAATTTTTTACGTTGATTACATGATGAAATAATATTTGGTTATTTTGGGGTTTACTGCAGTGTATTACTAAAATTCATTCCTTGTTTTTTTTTTAAACCTGGCTCCCCAAATGTATACTTACATATGTGAACCATGTATTATATTGGGCAATGTTGTTACAGAGCCACGAGTGCTCCTGAACTGTGAAGGAGCCCGTTTTTAATAGGTTACTGATCATTTGACTGGTGGTTCAGTGTGGTTTGCTCAACAGTACATGCCTCCCCCACACTTTAGTGTAATGCAAGAAAAAGAGAAGTAAAGAAAGCAACATGTAAGGAATTAAACGTCCAGTGCCTTCTGCAGGCATCAAATGTTTCTTCATAATACTGCCTTTTATAAATTACTCCCTCCAGTTGGTAAACATTATTTGAAATCTGAAAAGGCATTGGGCTCGGTATTTAGGAAACCTGGGTACTAAGTCGTTGGGCTAGACAAACCACATACCTTCCAGGCATTAGTTTCTTCATCTTAATATATTTAGTAGGAAAAAAAAAATCATACCAGATACTACAATATTTCTATGTAATCACTACTCAAAATCCAAGTTATTACCCAAGTGTTAACATTGTGCTGTATTTACTTAGGACTTTTTTTTTTTAAGAAATAAAGTTTGTGGGTACATTTGAAGATTCCTTCTCTACCAAATCAAATTTTTTTCTTATTTAAAATTGAGGGTTTGGAGTAGGTATCATCTAAGGGTTCTTCCAGTGCCAATACTCTGTGATTCTAATTGTAAATGTCTTTACAATGAAATTGTGAAGCAGGAGGATTTTGAACTTTCCCGTAAGTGAAATTAAAATGCCATGATTTTACGTCATTTGCTCCTATTTTGGTGAAATGCAGGAAAATAGACTTTTCTTTCATCTCCTTTTCTTTTAGAATAAGGTTTTCTGCAAGTGGCCATAATCAACTTTATAATAGGCCTAAGCTAAAAACCTCATTTCCTTTAGGAACTGTATTCAGTAAAATTCAGTTGGGGCAGAGATTTCCTCAGCTTTAATCAGCTCACAGCTCTGGTTCTAGAAAGTTTTGGGGTTTGTTTTGTGGTTGTTATAAAGGAAGCTGCAAATCATGAGCTTTTACAGTTATTGCTCAATATATTTTTGTTATAATGCTAAGTCTATTAAAATAGAAAGGCAATGTGTGTAAGTTGACTCCTTCTATTCTTTGAAAATAATGCTAAAGAAATTTATCTTAAACTTTTTCTGGTAAACAAGTAGAAATATTAAGTCAATTTAATAAAATAGTTGATATTTATGACATTTGTGATGTTGACAAGTTTCACCAAGAATTGAAAATTTTATATAATCTTATTTAAACTATTTGCTTTAGCAAATAAAATTTATGTGTCATTGAGTTCGGCTTTCTCAGTTTTTTTCTTACTAAATTTTCACATTTGAGAAAGGGAAAGATACAACTTGTAAATATTTTTCACAGCTATTTTACTTTTCTTTGTAAACAAATGGCACTCTAAATGGATACTTCTTAACTGGAGCACTTGCCTAGGCTAAGGCAGTGGTTTTCAACTGGGAATGATTTTGCCCCCACAGCTCATTTGGCAATGTCTGAGATGGTTTTGGTTGTCAGCACTGCAGAGGTGTGCTACTGGGATCTAGTGGGTAGACCACATGAATATTGCTACACCTTACAATGCACAGCTCCCCAGAACAAAAATTACTCAGCCCAAAATGTTTGTTGAGAAATCCTAATCAAAGTGCCTTGCCAATGGGTTTCAGACAAGTTCGCTATGGATTCAATGTGACCAAAGAAATTGACAGCAAAACGTTCTTTTGGTGAAAGGGTTTATTAACCGGCTTGTTCTCCCAGCGGTAGGTCGAGCACTAGCGTCTCTGCCTCTGCCCAGAGTACTGGGCCAAGCTCTCTGTATAGCGCAATAATGCCTTTTTGCCTAAAGGTGTGAAAGTGATAGCCTAGCAACAGGCCCGTCACATCATCATGTGGTTTAAGTTCAGTGAGGATCCTGGCCATAGGAACCCCAACTTCCCCACACTAAGGAATATTGAAATTGTATTATGAATTTTTAGGAGAATATCTGGGTATTGAACAAGTTGTAGCAGTAGATGTCTTAAGAAGTGACTGAAAGGTGTCATGTCAGTAAAAATGCATAATCTTTGGATGAAGTAAGGAAGCAGTTTTAAGAATGAAATTGTGTTAATGTAATCTGAAAAAGATTATGCCATGCATTCACAATGATATCCACAATAAACAAAAGCTGTGGAGTGAGGTTGGGGAAATTATGTGAATGTCTAGGCTCAGGAAGTGTACTGTGGATATTGTCTTTAAATTGGAGAAGCAAAAAGAAAGAGAAAAGACTGCAATTTTCTGTTTTATTCTTTTAAAGATTTTTTATGCCAACATTTCCTATTAAAAAATTCTTTTTATTGCAAGTATTTTTAAAAGTGATTTAAGCAAAATGATCTTTTAAAAATTCTTGTTGTTGCAGAATAGAGGCCCTGATTACTTACAAGCTGTGGGACCCATGGGAAAAACATTTTATATCTTTAAGCCTCAGTTTTCTTATCTGTCAGAGGGGGAAATAACACTCAGTGTTTGTAAAGTAAGTGATGGGGAAGTCCTTTGTAATTATAATTGTTAAATTGCTAATATTGATAGAAATAATAAATACCTAGCTGAGTTAATAGAAAACAGCCTGCTTTGTTTTATTTTATTTTTGTAAATATGTTCTTCTAGGCTTCAGACTTTAGGGCTCTCACATTCTATAGTGTGATAATTTTTGTAGACCTAAAGCCACATATCTAAATATTTATTTTCTAAACAAATTTCTTTAAAAAAACTATTTGCATTTGAATTTAAATTAGCATTTTTGTATTACTTTTCAGTTAGTTTGCAAGTCAGGTTTTCAAAGGTTCAGAGAAGTGCCTAGTGGGCATGTCACTCCTTTTGCAGATAGGAAGGATTGTCTAGATTTTTTTCCCTACAAACTGGTGCTAGGAGATAAATTGCATGGCCCTTAGCTCTTTGAGGTGTGTCTAGGATATGATTGTTTTAATAGTAGCATATGTTTGAAAAAATATGTTAAAACATCACGTTTTCCAGTTTGGTTTAAGTAATAGTATTGCAATGTAGAACCTTTGTCAATTTGATTTTTTAAAGTGATTCACTGTAGAAAGTCAGCAGGAAAATGCTCCATTCAGAATTTGCTCTCACATCCACTTGACAGGTGGAATATCTAGAGGCTGTGATATGTTGGATGCAAGGTGTGGCTACAGACCAGGAGTAGGACCCGGGTGGAGTTCCCTCAGAGTTTGTTGCTCAGCTGCCAGGTATAGTTGGAGCAGAGCATTATACAGAAGAGGACCCTGGGGTCTACTTCCATCTTCAGTACGGCCTATCTATATGGCTTCTGGAGGTCACTGATCAGTGACCACTGGTTCCTTATCTCGAAATGAGAAAATTAGGTAGGGTCATTTCTCCTGGCTTTAAACAAGGCCAGGGCAGGGTGAGTTCCTTCATTAGATACGAGTAGTACTGCCACTTGCTCTGCCTTCATAGTGAAAAAATGGTAGTCAAATAATGTATCTTTCCTTTTTGTTCTTCATTCAAATTGGTGAGCAAAGAACCACAGTCACAAAATGTGCAAGATAAATGAAGTTCCAGCCTCAGGCTGATATTTGCAAATCTAAATCTAATATGTATTACAGGTAGCTGTAGGGTAGCTTGAGAAGGCAAGAAAAAGCAGGCCTTTTTGCTTCTTTTTCCCTTGACACATAAAACAGCAGTAACTAGGTATTTCTAAATTTGGAGAGGAATTTTCTTTTAGTCCTTTCCTTCCAGCGGACACTTGATATAGTGAAGGGTGCCTTTTTCATTAGCTTGTCCTACAGCATATAAAATAAACAACATGTCAGTTATTATAATGTAATATATTTAGGCTGAGTTATCAATTGAAACATAAAAATTTAAATTGAAAACACCTTTCCACATATTTAAATAGCATTATAAATTAAAAATCCATTCCTTTTCTAGAAGTGAAACTTGAAGTTGGTATTTTGGTAACGTTCTGCTAGGAAGTTCTGTCACCTACTTGTTATGAGCTCCCTGAGGTGTGCTTGAAGGGGAGAAAGTCCAGTGTTTCACGGCAGCTTTCCATCTTTGCCGAGACTTCCTCTTTCAATAGGGAAATGGAAAGAGAGCCAGTTGTTTCCTCTCCTTCCTCTCCCTCCCACGACAAAGTCATTGTGAACTAGTAGAAGAAGTAGATTGGTTCATTTGAGTTGGATAGCTAGGATCATTTGAAATTCTACAGTATTTTCTTCAGTTTCTTTATTAAAACATTAGTTACTAAAATAATTTGATTTATGCTTTAAAAAACTGCTCAGTCATTTATTTTAACTCACTTCCCGGGAAAATGAATGTGCTGAATATTTTGATATACTTTCATATAAATAATGGATATTTACATTATACCGTACATAAAAGAAATATGTAAAAATGCATAACACGGTTTCCTGCACAATCAAAATAGGAAAAAAAAAATCCCCAGACCGCTTGGGCCGTGTCCACCGCCGCTTCCTGCATCCTCTCCCGCAGCCGCTGCCCTCGCTCCTCAGCATGTGTAAGGCGGCGGGGAGCCCCCCTGAGGTGCCCTACACACACTGTGACCGCTGCCTCCTGCCACAAGGCTTCTGAAGCACAGGCCAGCAAAGTCTTTCCTGCTGCCGCCACGAGGCCCGGGAAGATGGCTGCATGAAATCATCTATTGCCTGATACATACTGGCAGCAAATACAGGGAGGCTCGCAGAGATAATTGTTACTTAACCTGTTTTCTCTGTAGAGTGCCCTAAACCAGGTGTTTTTGGGAAAAAAAACAACAACTTGCAGTTTGGATGTAGGAAAGGTCATGAGGAGACTGAGGACCCTGGATTTTGCTGATGAGAATGAAACAAATGTTGGAAGACTTTTCAAATCTATTGATGGTGGCGCTTTGTGACTATGGTATTTCATAGACATCAAAGCAGTTGATGGTATGAGAATGGAGATTGTTTTCAAACTGATGAAAAATTGTGATCCAAGAGATAGAGAATCCTGGCTCTTGTATTTCAGTGATAGCCACTCAAATGGACCAGCGTGTGTATGGTTTGTTTTGCCCAGTGAATCTCCTTCCTCAGTCTTTTCTTTTTAAGTTTGTTTGATAAGAAGATGCTTGATTTATTGGAAACCAATCTGGGATTCATTTCTGTTAAAGTCATGTATTGCTGCTTAAAAGCAAATTGCTTTGCATATAAAAACAGATCTGCTCTGCTCAGTCACATAAAAAGTTATTAACATGTCCTTAGTTTTATAATGGTAAATAAAACATCAGAATTTTCCACTTTAAAAAAAATACATAACACCACACACTCCTTTTTCAGTATTCCTATTTTACAATATGCAAAGCTACTTGTATGGATTAGGACGTGGCATTTTTGTTTGTTGGTTTTTTGCTTTTGATCACAATTTTGAATTAATCTCTCTTTTTTATATTAACATTGACCAGAGAGTCAGGAGACATAGTAGGTTCTATTCTTAGCATCACTACAAGTTAATTGTATAACGTTGGATCAACCACCTAATCTCTTTAGGCTTAATTTCTTCATATACAAAGTGAGAGGGGATTTGGTTTAAAAATCTTTATGATCTTTAAGAGTCACGAGTAGTTATAAATCATAACTTGTGAATTTTTGTTTTTTGAAAGATGTGTATTTTTTAAAAGTACTAAAATAGTCATTTTGAAATACAATCTCCTGCTTTCATGTTTTCCACTGTGGCACTCTCCTTGTGGTACTCCTCCTAACATAAACATTGACTCTATCTTACCTTTCTGGTTATGTCCTTGTTAGTTGTACTGATTTTAGTTCCCTTTTTGCATTTAGATTTCTTCATGCTTTTTTAAAATGCAAAGGCCAAAAGTGAATCCACCAACTATACTGGCTTCTCAACACTGAGTCCAGTGCTTGTCAAGCTTTTTATTTCTCCTCAAGGGAGATAGAATTATCTTCTGAATTAAAATCCTCTACTCTTTCTGCTGTGCTATTTGGGAAATAGTGTGATGTTCTGAACATAACATTGGGAGTCAGAAGATGTGAGGCCTAGCTCTACCCCTAATTAGGTTGACAGTATTTTTAGGCCAGTAATTTAACCTCTTGAAGCCCTAGTTTCTTTTCCTTGATGTATATGCCCTGCCCTCTTTTACCAGTAGGCTCTGAGGATCAAATACTGTAATAGATCTTTCAGTGTTTTCTAAAATATGAAGACTTCTGTTCTTGTTGTAGTTGTCTCTACTCCAGTATAATATGCATTCTGAAGCGTTAGTATTATTGAGCACCTACTATGAGGAGAACCAGTAAGGAGTGTATGATTGATCAGTTTGGGGATAGTTAAGTGTCATAAGAAAGATGTAGCTAAACTTCTGTGAAAGTTCAGATAAATTATTTCTGGCTGGAGGTATTTAATGTCAGCACTATACTTATATTTATTTTGTAGGCTATTAAGTATTTTAAAAGCCATTGGTGGACTTAGGCAGGCTTGTTCCGTATTATGCCAGTAGCATTTGATTTTTATTTGCAAATATACTAACTTGGTTGTTTTCTACAATTTAGCAACCATAAATATACTAACTTGGTTGTTTTTGATAGTTTAGCATCCATTTCTTTTTCTATTGTATTTTTTACAGTGACTCCAACTCTGTTTACTTTGGTATCATTTGCTAATTCAGTTGAATGAAATTACTTTCATTTCCATCTTTTGATTCATTAGTAAAGAAAAGATTACTAGATTAACTTTGATCCAAGATTTACCCTTTTAAGGTACTTCCTAAAATATCCTTCAAGATTAGTTTTGAAACTTTTATGTGTGACTCTCTAGCACTGTATGCTTATCTAAAATGTTTCTAGTTTATTACTGAGAATCACAGGGTCAAAATCAGGAACTTTCTCTTCTGAAGCACAGACTACATTTACTGCTTACTCTCATCTTTAGGCCTATCTGTCCATCATAGAAGGAAATCATAGAACTTTCTTACTTGTAGTACTGTCACTTTGGAACTTCGTGGGGTTAGAGACACCAGATCTTGGGATAGGCTTTACTTCCTTCCTTGCTGGCAGAGTTAAGTTTATCCATGTCCAGTTATTAGTCATTCTTCCCCTGGGTTGTTTTTTTCCCCAAGGATTAGACACAAATATTTACCCTTCTTTCAGGTTTTCATTGAACTTGCTTTGGGCTCTATGTGTTCTTATCCCAGTGATCTGGCTATAGCAGTAAAGTTATTTGCATATGTAGGTTAACCTAAAGTATGCCACAACTAAATATTCATGTCTATATATAGCAACATTTTTGTGCCAGTAACTTCTTAAGTTTTTGAAGCTTGCTTTGCATACCATTGTCTACTTAGCATAGGGTCCATAGTGTTTGGTACTGCATTATGATTGGTTATACTAATTGGTATATTAACTTCATATTTTTTCTCTTTGTTTTTAAAGGCAATGTGGCTTTAGATAATCTACAGATAAAAGAAAATGCTCTGGTAAGTTTTTAAACTATATTGATTACTCAGTTAATTTGGTAAGCTCCTAGAAACTCTTAGTTTACTCAATATCAGGCAGTAGGTACCAGATAAAGTGAGTCACTCTAAGAAGAATTGCTTATTTAATTATTTGCTGTAGGAAAACCTGAGATTAAAAATTTAGAAATATTTTTTCCTGATGATCAAAATAGTATCTCTTGGAAAGTGGAGTGTTTTTCCTTGACCTAATTTGACTGTATAGCTTTGTGACAGATACTTGTCTTACTGAAGTAGTGTTCTCCAGAATTATCTTTACATATTTTTCAGGTCAATAAGGACTTGATTTTAACAATTTACCTAATAAATAATTGTAATTTTGGAAATACTGTGACAGTCCAGTCTTATAATATTATAGTATTATTAAGAGGTCAAACAGTTTTTTTTTGGACTCTAGCTCCAGAAAGTAATTTGTGTTATTTATTATTGAACTAAAAACAAAAAAAACCCACTATTCTCCCCATCCTCTGCTCCCTCAACCCCTGCTAGGCTTTAGCCTATTGTACTTAATTTGAGTTTATGAAGTCATTTAAGGATGTTTATTAGTAGGTCAGGTTTCTAACTAACCTACAGTATGTTTTATAATCCTAGCTTTGACTTCTGCTTGGATTTCTGCATGATGAACTCCATAATTAGAGAGAGCCATATATACATAATGCTTCCATGACGGGTCTCAGGGAAGCCAGTTTTCAGATACTCAATATCCTAGGAGTAAAACTTTTGTCACAAGAAGTAACAGTTTATTCTCTTACAGTGAAAACAGCTTAGCATAGTAGAACAGCACAGACCTCAACAGGCTGGCAGACCTGGGCTTGAGTGCTAGCTCAGCTTTTTACCAGCTATGTGCAGTTTTGCAAGTTTATCAGTTTCTCCTAGCATCAATTTAATCATCTTTAAAGTGGACTTAATAACACAAAACAATATGATACCTCTGCTTTTGTGGCTTGAGTAAAATTAAAAGTAGAGCCTGGATGGTAGTGGACACTCAAAATATTTTTCTTTCCCTCCATTTATACAGGATGCTACAACTTTTAAAATTTTATCTGAAATTTTATAACATAAAATTCTGTCACTGCAGATTGGAATAAAGGTTATTTTGTCCTCTATTTTAGAAGGAAATAAGTATAAATAGGTTGGTGACAGGATATATATCTCACATACTTAGAACAAATTGTTTGAACTCTTTCTTGGTCTAATTTGAATTTTGGTGATAATTAAATATAATAAATTATTTTGTAACATATTCTCCGTTAATTCAAACTAGCTTCCTTTTCCCATTTAAACTGCATTGGTGAGATTTTGCCTTTACTTTGATATAGGTTCTTTACATTTATTTTGCGTGGAAAAAATTTCATGAGGATCAAAATGAGTGTAAGACCGCACTTTTAGAAGTTTATAATTTAGTTTGTATCCTGCTTAATACGAAGTATAATATGAAGACCTTTGAATTTATAATTTATATCTTTTCTATTCCCTGCCAAGGAGGCTATGTAGAGCTGCTCTCTTATCACCAGTGAGGATTTTTTTTTTCTTTTTGGTCTCAAAAAGACCTTTCATCAAAAGCTATAAGTATTTGTTCAATTCCTGTCCATCTAGAATGCTTGAGCAATCAGATGATTGAATAAATTGATTATTTTAGTTAATTGTTACCTAAAGTACTGTATTTCAGTTACCAGATTTCAGTAGTGTTAAATAAACTAAGGTGTACCTAACAGAGGGGCTATTCTGTTGGTTGGTTTAATTTTTAATACTTCTAAAAACTCACGTGATCATTATGAATATTGGTTATTGTTGAGTACTTTGAATAAGTTATTTGTAATTTCTAGTGATTTGGAACCTAAATCAGTACAAGTTTATTACTATTATTGATAGGTATTGTCAGTAATTTGTCTAAAGTAAATGCTAATTCAATATATTTACCAATTATGTTGGGAATCTGCCTTTTAAGATTGTTTTGTTTACTCATTTATTAAATATTTTATTTGAGAGAACTTTTGTTCAGTTGTTGTTTTTAACTTACTAATGTGAAAGGACTCTTCCTTTTCTTATTATAGTATTTCATATACGCAGTGTCCATCTCCCTTAAAAGTGCATGGAATTTCCATCTGTCTTGTTTTGGTTTATTAAAGCGAGTAACCCGTTTACCAAATTACTTTCTTTAAAACAAACTCTTGTAATATTGCTCCTTTTTATAATGTTGTTTCTCTTGTGAATTCTTTCTTCAAAATTTAAGTTAATAAAAACCTCTTTTCAGCTCTAAAACATTATTTATCAGTTACACGAATGCAGAAAATTTGTTTCATGATTTTTCCTTAGAGATGATTGTGTATTTAAATGATGATACAAAGGTGATTTTGGAGGTGCTTAATAATTTAAGATGTCCTTCAAATTTTTTTCTTCCTTTTGAAGAGTGAATTGGATGTTCCTTTTAAAGTCAAGACTGGTCAGATTGGTAAGTATTTCACTCTTCAACTGAATTATTCTTAGTCCTTTTAGTTCTTATTTTTCCTGTGTTATTTAACTAAAACATATTTTTTAGCTAAAAACAAACTAAAGATTGGGGGAGGTTTTAGCCTGTGTTGATAAGAGTTTTTGGAGTTCTGGGCCCAAAGTCCATTACATATAATACATACCTATTTCAAAGTTTTTGACAAAAGCATGGAATAGTATCTCTAAAAATGGAAGGACACTTGAACTGCAATGATACTTTTCAGGCTTTGGTTCCACCACACAAAATATATGTTAATTTTCAAAGTCAGTCAAGGTCCAAATTTATGTGTTTTTTCTTTATATGTGAAAGTAGTATACTTTACAACTATTAAATAAAACTTAAGTATGGCTCCTCATGTTTTGTCCAACCATATCTCTGATACATTATGCAGAAGTGTGGGATGGAGGATGTCTTAGTAAGTAGAAAGCCTTTCTCTTATAGGAAGATCAGCGATAACTAAGCAGACATCTTTGTTGAAGAACTTTTTCAATAGGAAGTTTCACCTGCATTCTTTTCAACTAGGTCATGCTTCCTGGTTTTTACTTTTTAAAAAATATAACCCTAGATGACTGATGCCACTTTCCTTCCTTCTACCTCCATCACACTACTACTTCACCACATCACTTTCCTTCTCATTTATTTTATATTCAAGGAAGGCTTTGTCTTTCATTGCTCTGGCATCTCTTAGCAATTAGTTGGCTACTCTTTGAGTCCACTTTATACCACCTATATGTGTTCATTTTAATATAGAGTAACATTTTCATGTTTCGTCCTTTGAAACAGGAGACTCCATTTGATTGAATGCATCCCTATGGCACACATCATCTTTTTTGTCTGTCTGTAATACAGAACCTTGTGCTGTGTGAGGTGGTGATCGTTAACAGTGTTCTAGAAGTATTGTGGTCATACATGCTTAATTGAAATCCTAGAGTGAAGGTTTAGCCATCTATTCATTCTTTTGCCGTTGAGATATTTATGCACACATGCTTTGAATGAGACTATTCAAATAGCTATGGGAAAGGCAAGGATGAATGTATCTTTATTTTCAAGGGAGTTTTGGAGGTCTAAAATTAACACATAGTATTCAAATCACATTTCCAGTGTGTTGGAGTTTTATTTGACTTAAAAACTCAAAATAATTCATTATATTATTAAAACGATTTATATTTTGGATGACTTTTTTTTTAATGGTTCAAAGTATTTTTTTTTTTACTTTTTTGCTATTAAAGTATTATAAGAATTTAATGGCTTCTTTCAAGGCTACTCATTGAATTATGAGGGACCCTTTACATACATATGCAAGGCATATTATCTTTATATTTATCCCTTCTTTTGCTCTGTGAAATGTTTATATTAGTTATTAAATTTCTGGTAGGTTAAAATATTATACCTAAAAGAGTCAGTATGGCTAAATATGCTCAAGAATGTTTTGGTTTTCTAAGAGCTAGACATATTTGTGGGTACTCCTCAATTACCCTTTTATGTAAAAATTAAAATAATTTCCTATTCTATAAAAGGGAAGCAGTAATAAAACTAACAATTCCAGTGGAATAGAGAAGACAAGGTTTGGGGAACAGATGATCCCATTTTGGTATGTTAGTTAAGGGGGCATTTCCCCCTTTTTTAGGCTCATGCTCACCAAGAAGGCAGTCAAGTCAATTTTTTAGGAGTTTATGAATTAATTACAAATATAACTATTATAAATATAGATGACACTCACTATAAAATCATAAGACTTAGAAATGACCCAGAAGTATTAGTATCCTGGCATTACCTCTAGCCTCACTGACATGGGAGACATTTAAGAAACTCAGCAGGTTTACAAACTGAAGAAAAATAAAAATTTAAGTAGAAAAATAATTTAAGACTTTAACCCTGGGAATTGATTCCCAGGTAAAAGTGGTTTACCTTCATAAGCCCTCCAGGTGAATCAAAACATCTTCCCTTACACTGTGTTATTTTTATTTATTCTTTAGCTTATTAGCCTATTTAACAATTCTTTGAACTTTGAGCATTTTTATTTAAAAGTGCCAGTGATTCTTGTGGTCTAAGTAGCTATTCATATACTAGCAGGACTCAGTTGAATCAGATTGTTTTCTCTCAAGAGTATTGAACAGCAGCACTGAGAGAACTATATATAGCTTTATAGGATTATTATTTTTTAAGTTATGATAAGAGAAGGTATTTTAATTTGGAACATGTGAAATCAGGGGGTAGGAAAGGTTTGAACGAAACTGCTGTAGTACTGTTGAGAGCAAATTGAGACATTCACTGCCTGGAGATCTGGGAAGAAGGCATACTTGGAGACTGGAAAAAGTAAAGAAATAAATGTGAAAAGATACCAAAGACAAATTCTGTCCATTTCAAAATTTAGCTGAGAGTATGCCCTCTTGTCTTCTCTCTCCTGCTGTGTAGCCTTTTCCCATAAAACCCCAAACTTGGCTTAGTGACAGGACCATAGTTCATTGTTATTGTGGGTGAGAATGTTTCTTTAAGCCAGTCTCTTGAAGAATGGACACTAATACCATTGTATCTAATAAGATGTGGTCTTCCTTTCAAGTGATTTCTAAGTGGATATTTGGAATATAACTGGCCTGAACTACCTGTAACTCATAATACTAAACATAAAACAGTATACCTTGCCTGTAGGGCTGGCCTCTTCCAATTGTAGCTACTTGGCATACTGTCGAAACGCTATAGTGCATGGAATTTCCATCTGTCTTGTTTTGGTTTATTAAAGCGAGTAACCCGTTTACCAAATTACTTTCTTTAAAACAAACTCTTGTAATATTGCTCCTTTTTATAATGTTGTTTCTCTTGTGAATTCTTTCTTCAGAATTTAAGTTAATAAAAACCTCTTTTCAGCTCTAAAACATTATTTATCAGTTACACGAATGCAGAAAATTTGTTTCATGATTTTTCCTTAGAGATGATTGTGTATTTAAATGATGATACAAAGGTGATTTTGGAGGTGCTTAATAATTTAAGATGTCCTTCAAATTTTTTTCTTCCTTTTGAAGAGTGAATTGGATGTTCCTTTTAAAGTCAAGACTGGTCAGATTGGTAAGTATTTCACTCTTCAACTGAATTATTCTTAGTCCTTTTAGTTCTTATTTTTCCTGTGTTATTTAACTAAAACATATTTTTTAGCTAAAAACAAACTAAAGATTGGGGGAGGTTTTAGCCTGTGTTGATAAGAGTTTTTGGAGTTCTGGGCCCAAAGTCCATTACATATAATACATACCTATTTCAAAGTTTTTGACAAAAGCATGGAATAGTATCTCTAAAAATGGAAGGACACTTGAACTGCAATGATACTTTTCAGGCTTTGGTTCCACCACACAAAATATATGTTAATTTTCAAAGTCAGTCAAGGTCCAAATTTATGTGTTTTTTCTTTATATGTGAAAGTAGTATACTTTACAACTATTAAATAAAACTTAAGTATGGCTCCTCATGTTTTGTCCAACCATATCTCTGATACATTATGCAGAAGTGTGGGATGGAGGATGTCTTAGTAAGTAGAAAGCCTTTCTCTTATAGGAAGATCAGCGATAACTAAGCAGACATCTTTGTTGAAGAACTTTTTCAATAGGAAGTTTCACCTGCATTCTTTTCAACTAGGTCATGCTTCCTGGTTTTTACTTTTTAAAAAATATAACCCTAGATGACTGATGCCACTTTCCTTCCTTCTACCTCCATCACACTACTACTTCACCACATCACTTTCCTTCTCATTTATTTTATATTCAAGGAAGGCTTTGTCTTTCATTGCTCTGGCATCTCTTAGCAATTAGTTGGCTACTCTTTGAGTCCACTTTATACCACCTATATGTGTTCATTTTAATATAGAGTAACATTTTCATGTTTCGTCCTTTGAAACAGGAGACTCCATTTGATTGAATGCATCCCTATGGCACACATCATCTTTTTTGTCTGTCTGTAATACAGAACCTTGTGCTGTGTGAGGTGGTGATCGTTAACAGTGTTCTAGAAGTATTGTGGTCATACATGCTTAATTGAAATCCTAGAGTGAAGGTTTAGCCATCTATTCATTCTTTTGCCGTTGAGATATTTATGCACACATGCTTTGAATGAGACTATTCAAATAGCTATGGGAAAGGCAAGGATGAATGTATCTTTATTTTCAAGGGAGTTTTGGAGGTCTAAAATTAACACATAGTATTCAAATCACATTTCCAGTGTGTTGGAGTTTTATTTGACTTAAAAACTCAAAATAATTCATTATATTATTAAAACGATTTATATTTTGGATGACTTTTTTTTTAATGGTTCAAAGTATTTTTTTTTTTACTTTTTTGCTATTAAAGTATTATAAGAATTTAATGGCTTCTTTCAAGGCTACTCATTGAATTATGAGGGACCCTTTACATACATATGCAAGGCATATTATCTTTATATTTATCCCTTCTTTTGCTCTGTGAAATGTTTATATTAGTTATTAAATTTCTGGTAGGTTAAAATATTATACCTAAAAGAGTCAGTATGGCTAAATATGCTCAAGAATGTTTTGGTTTTCTAAGAGCTAGACATATTTGTGGGTACTCCTCAATTACCCTTTTATGTAAAAATTAAAATAATTTCCTATTCTATAAAAGGGAAGCAGTAATAAAACTAACAATTCCAGTGGAATAGAGAAGACAAGGTTTGGGGAACAGATGATCCCATTTTGGTATGTTAGTTAAGGGGGCATTTCCCCCTTTTTTAGGCTCATGCTCACCAAGAAGGCAGTCAAGTCAATTTTTTAGGAGTTTATGAATTAATTACAAATATAACTATTATAAATATAGATGACACTCACTATAAAATCATAAGACTTAGAAATGACCCAGAAGTATTAGTATCCTGGCATTACCTCTAGCCTCACTGACATGGGAGACATTTAAGAAACTCAGCAGGTTTACAAACTGAAGAAAAATAAAAATTTAAGTAGAAAAATAATTTAAGACTTTAACCCTGGGAATTGATTCCCAGGTAAAAGTGGTTTACCTTCATAAGCCCTCCAGGTGAATCAAAACATCTTCCCTTACACTGTGTTATTTTTATTTATTCTTTAGCTTATTAGCCTATTTAACAATTCTTTGAACTTTGAGCATTTTTATTTAAAAGTGCCAGTGATTCTTGTGGTCTAAGTAGCTATTCATATACTAGCAGGACTCAGTTGAATCAGATTGTTTTCTCTCAAGAGTATTGAACAGCAGCACTGAGAGAACTATCTATAGCTTTATAGGATTATTATTTTTTAAGTTATGATAAGAGAAGGTATTTTAATTTGGAACATGTGAAATCAGGGGGTAGGAAAGGTTTGAACGAAACTGCTGTAGTACTGTTGAGAGCAAATTGAGACATTCACTGCCTGGAGATCTGGGAAGAAGGCATACTTGGAGACTGGAAAAAGTAAAGAAATAAATGTGAAAAGATACCAAAGACAAATTCTGTCCATTTCAAAATTTAGCTGAGAGTATGCCCTCTTGTCTTCTCTCTCCTGCTGTGTAGCCTTTTCCCATAAAACCCCAAACTTGGCTTAGTGACAGGACCATAGTTCATTGTTATTGTGGGTGAGAATGTTTCTTTAAGCCAGTCTCTTGAAGAATGGACACTAATACCATTGTATCTAATAAGATGTGGTCTTCCTTTCAAGTGATTTCTAAGTGGATATTTGGAATATAACTGGCCTGAACTACCTGTAACTCATAATACTAAACATAAAACAGTATACCTTGCCTGTAGGGCTGGCCTCTTCCAATTGTAGCTACTTGGCATACTGTCGAAACGCTATTCTTTTGGTACTCTGTGTTGCTGCTTTAATTCCTGGGATCTTGTACAGGCATAATTGTGTGGTAGAGAGGCAGTTATAGGTGTGTGGCTAAAACAGTGTGTACTGTATTCAGACCATCAACTTTTGGGTCAAGAAGAGTATCAAGTTCAGGTTCTAGCATCCTCACTGATGACTTGGGTGGTCATAAGCAATTAATTTAACTCCTTTGGGACTGAGTTTCCTTGTCAAAATTGGAATAATAGTTGCTGCATTTTTATAGTTTGGGAATATTAAATGAACAGATACTTATCAAAAAGTTTGAAAAGTATAAAATACAATGTGAATTGTTACTTCTTACAGTAATATAATATGGGAAAGATCTTTGTAAATTTCAGTGTTGGGGTGTTTTCATTTTTTTCTGAGTGATATATATACATGAAGGGTTTTGTTACCCTTTTTTCTTAATGTAAAGTGAAAAATGTGTATCTTTTTGAGCATTGTAATGAGAACTTAAGGTTTAAATTATGTTTCTTTAGATAAATTAACTTTGAAGATTCCTTGGAAGAACCTTTATGGGGAAGCAGTTGTTGCAACCCTAGAGGGATTATACCTGCTTGTTGTCCCTGGAGCAAGTATGTTATTTTAGTTTACAACCATTCATTTAGTAATACCACAGTGAAATTAAATTGTTACCTGTGTTAAATTTTTTAATATGTTTAGTAAAATAAAAGATAATCATATACATATATGCACATAAATACATTTTATATATATACACATTTGTATATAAAATATTTTTGTGTTATTGTTGGAAAAAATTTCAACCATTTGGTAAATTTATTCTATTTTCTATGAGTAATTATTTTGTAGCTAAAGTTTCCTATTAAGTTGGACTGCATTAGATGTACTTTTGGAAAATAATTTTTTAAAAAATGATGAACTGATTTGTTAATTTATGGATTTTAAGATTTGAAATTTTTTTCCCTCATTTGTTGCTTCTGATTTTGAGTGAATATTCTCTCAAAAATGTGTGTAAAATAGGTAATTTTTTTTATTATACAAATTACAGTATTTTAATTTTATTGAGTGTTTTAAAGTAGCAATGTTTAATATCTTTATTAATTTCCTTAGTTATAAGAATAAGAATGTTAAGAAAATTTTGGATTTTTTATGGAAAAGTTACTCATTTTCTCAACCATAAGACAAGTACAATTTTTTTTTAAATATTTTGCTTTCCAGTCTTTACCACATACATATTTGACTTGATATAGCATTATGACATATATGTATCATGGATCTGGCTTTTCACTAAATACATGTATTTTGATATGTTATGTTTCACAGTTTTTATGGTGACAGTGAAATTTTGAAAAGCCTTATGATGTTCCATTGTGGATTGCCTACTGTTTTTCCCTATTGCAGTGAAAATTATAAACATCTCCTCCTTATAGATATCTAGTTCTTTTGTGCTATTTCCTTAGGATACAATATCAGAAATGAACTTGCTAGATAAAAAGGATATATATATTTTATGATTGTTGGTAATATATCTTGAATTACTTTCTGAAAGTCTTTTTATTAATTTACAGTAACAACTGGTATTGAATAGTGCATGTTTTTTGTAGTTGTCAAAGTTTTACCCACTCAGGTATAGTAATTGGAAGTTTTCCTCTGTTCCTTCCTTTTACCTTTCTATTCACATTTTTCCTTTCTTCATTTCTCTGATTCTTTTCTCTTCCCCTTTTCCTTTTAGATATAAAACTTTGTAAGTAAATAGGAATCATTTATGTTTAAACTTCCTGTAAAACTGAAGAATGCGACTTTTTTTGACTTACAAAAAAATGATTTAAATTACACACATACAATCATAATGCGGCTGAACTTTTCCTGTTTATTAATTGCATTTCTTTGTGAATTAATGATATATTTTTAGGTATTAAATATGATGCTGAAAAAGAAGAAAAATCCTTGCAAGACATTAAACAGAAAGAGCTATCCCGAATTGAAGAAGCCCTTCAAAAAGCAGCAGAGAAAGGTAGAATAAGTTTGTGTTTTAGATAAACTTAGATATACCTATATGTTAGATTTATTACACTCTAAGGAGGATGCTTTTATAAGCCTTCATAAGGTTTAGTTCCAAAGAAAGAATCTTGTTTTCAAATCATATTTCAAAATATTGATTATAAATATTTTAATGACTCATATTTAGGAATCATTTCCTTTTTCTGTGATTATTGGTAATACATCTTGAATTACTTTCTGAAAGTCTTTTTATCTTTATTACTAAGGAAATTAGTAATTTCTGCCAGTTTAATTATCCCACTTTGCTTAACCAGTCATTTTTGCAGTTTTCCAAGTTCTGAGAGTTACTGCAGACTCTTTGTGTTGGACAAATGTTAATAGGCTTTTTGTCTGCATTTTTATCTGTATCCTTGGAAGTAATGAGGTTCAGCATATTAATATAATAAAAAAATGTTCTGAGGAAATGGTGCTGTGATTCTATTCCTAGCTATATCGCTTTATATACGATTTTAAAAAAAATTCTGTTCTTGAAAGGGAACCCTCCTACAATGTTATCGAGAATGTAAATTGGTGCAGCCACTGTGGAAGGCAGTATGGAGATTCCTCAAAAGACTAAAAATAGAAATATCATATGACCCAGCAATTCTCTTCTGGAATTTTACCTGAAGAAAACAGAATCACTGATTCAAAAAGATGCATGCATGTCAATGTTATTGCCACATTATTTACAGTAGCCAAGATATGGAAGCAACCTCAGTGTCCATTGATAGATGAATGGATAAGGCAGATGTGCCATTTGCAGCAATATGGATAGACCTAGAGGGTATTATGCTAAGTGAAATAAGCCAGACAGAGAAAGACAAATACTGTATGATTTTGCTTTTATGTGGAATCTAAAAAAACAAAACAAATGAACAAAACAGAAGTAGAAGCATAGATACAGAGAAGAAACTAATGTCATGGGAGAGGGTAAAGTTAAGGGAATAGATGCACAAAATCCATATTTTGGTATAAATTAGCCACAGGGATGAAAGTATGGCACAGGGAATATAGTCAATAATTTTGCAATCTCATTGTGTGTTGGCAGATGCTAACAACACTTCCTGGGGTGAATTTAATAGTGTAGGTGACTGTTGAGTCACTGTGCTGTATGCCTGAAACCAATATACTATTGTATGTTGTATACTATATTTCTATAAAAATAACTTGATTCTTCAGATTTCAGTATTTTAACATCTTGCCTTAAGTTTTAATGTTTTGTTTTTATCTAAAAATATATCTGATGACTGTTTTGGTTTTGTTTAAGGAGCAAGAATAAGGATAAGATGAAAAAGAGTAGTCAGTGGAGTGATGAATTAAAGGACTTTTCCAAACCTCCAGTTTGTTCTTCTCTTTCAAGTCAAATCATACTCTGATTGCTGATTGGAACATGAGAATTACTAGTATTTATGAGTATTTTACATCATTTTTGTGACATTTGGTTGGCAGTTTTTTATATTTCTGTGATGAAAGAAAATACTAGAAATGCTAAGGCATTTCTCTTTAGTCTTTCAAGAGATGGCAAATGTTAAGTTAGAAATTACAGCAATTCTATTTAGATATAAGGTTTCTTTTCCTAATTAAAATTGCTGACATTTAATTGAATCAACAGGAACTCCTTCTTAAACATAACTTGCTCATTAAAATTCCTTATCAATGATTTAATTCTTTTTGCCCCAAAGTATTTTCTTTTATACAGAATTATTGATTCTATTACAAAAAATTACTAAAATACTTAAAATATGGAGGCCATCTTAATGGAAGAAATTTTTAAAAGCCTAAACCTTTTTTCCTTTCCTTTTTTAATACTTAAGCATATTTGTCTGTCTTCCGAAGTTTGTGATTCTGTATTTTTATTAAAACAGTTTTTCTTAATTTCTATTAAAGTGCCAAATAAAGCAAGGTGAGGATGGTTTTGTTTTATGACAATTAAGTGTGGTTGTTTAATTTTATTCACTTTGGCTTAATTAGTATTTGGTAGAAATAATACTATAAAAATGAAGGGAAGGACTTGGGGAGCACTAGAATTTCATTTTTCTTGATATAGCTCAGATTAAGTGTATTTTCTTAACACATATATAATTATATATATTCATCAATAAGTATATTGACATATACTTAGGTGTACTGATATGTAATTATCATGCATAATTCATAATATATAATCAATATTTATAATTATATTCTGTCTTTTGAGAAATAAACCCCAAACTCCTTTTCTTTTTTGATAGAAATAACTATGATGACTTAAAAAATATTTTAGTGTTTCCAGAAAAAGCATGGTAGTCTCCTGTTTTCATAATTGTCACTTTAATTGACAAAATGATAACCTACTCTACAATATGGATTGAATACCTGTGAAATTTTGACTTCTGGGTCTTAATACTTAGGAAACACACATGTTTGGGTCTGGCAGAGAGGCTATTAAGGATGATTTGACATAGTTTAGTATTAAGCTTATATAAATAGAATATTAGGCTAATATATAATAATTACATTGTTGCTTCTTGGGTGATACAATTTAGATTTTGTTGGGATAGAAAATTCAGAAAGTAAAACAGTTTTAACATGATAGATTTGTCAAAAATATTCTGAGTATAAAAAAGATGAATTTGAGAATTAGGAAATAGGTTGATAGAGATGTTTTTTTCTTAATTGTCAAGAAATACATTTACTTAACTTGACTGCATGTATTTTTTTCTAGTTTCTATGGATATGGGTCACATCTTCATATATTATTTATATGGATGATAAAAGATAATGGCCTTTAGATGCTTTGCATTTCACCATTATTATAGTTATTTGATTACTATACTTTATTTTTTAGACTTATTATTTTTCTACGTAATTTTTTATTTTAAAAGCCCAAAAGTACTGTCACATGTGTTTAGAGACTCAGAGGTAAAGAGAGGAAGCAATTTAATTCTAGGTAGCAGATGATAAACATGAAAACAAAATCCTCATGCTAATCTGCTTTAAAAAGGTATTTTTACTTAGTTTTTGTTAGTTGATAAAATAGAATGTTGCCCACTATCATGTGGGAAAAAAGTGAAATATAACTGAGTTCATTTAGCTTCACTATCAAAATAAATTCCTTGATATTTTCATCCTTTCATTTAATTGTAGTGACCTTATTTTCCTGGAAAGGCTATTATAAAATGAAGGGATAAATTAAATTCCTGGTGAGGCTAAAGATTCTCAAATATCCTAGATTATATATTTAAAAATGTTAATTTTATCAAGGTAATATTTATATACACTTTAAAATCATTTTTGCCAAAAAGGCTTCTGATGAAAAATGTCAATCTCCTGCTCCACCCTTTTCTACCCTTTAGACCCACTCCTTAGAGGAAACCATCATTTAAAAAATGTCAACCTTCTGTCATTGTCTAATTTATTAACATAAGACATTATCTAGGATTTCCTGTTATGACAGGCAAGAAGTTTACCTCTCTTACAGTTTCTTTTTACTAAAATCCCTATCTTCTCATAATGTGGTTATATCATAATTTTTGGTCAATTATTAGTCAAAATTTGCTTTGACAATATTGTTCACTATGTAGGGCGAATAATGTACTAGGTTTTTCTTCAATTTTTAAATGCTTTTTTAAATTTCCTTAGTCTTCTATGTAAATTTACCTTTAATTCTTTTCAAATGCTACATGAAATCTATCTGTTAGGACCATCATTGTTATTTTCCAATTGCCCAAAGCCATCTTTTGGTTCCCTCCCTGCCCTCCTTTTTCTCTTGGAGATCTCACTCTAAACTGGTTGTATTTTTGTAGTTCTTAACATCCTGGGACTGTCTTCATCACTCTTCTGTGTTTAATGCACTGTTTCCTAGGTACCTTGCTTTTTGTTCTTTGTTAGATTTTTCCTTTGTTTTGCTGGAACATATCTAATAGGTCCTAAGAAGGGATGGATCCACCGGATATAATTTTTAAAATCTTTTCAAGTCTGAAAGTCTTTTTATTTTACTTCCACACTTTGATTTGACTGGGAATAGAATGCTAGGTTTAATATTAGAAATTTGAAGTCAGTTCCTTTAGGTTCTAAGTACTTTTGAGAAGTCTTGATGACTATGTGCTCAAGATGTTTTTGAAACACAAAAATTAGAAAAACCCAGGACCCTACTGTCAGAAGATTTTAGTTGGGGAAATAATATAACAGTAATTTAGTTGTGCATAATAATAAATGGGAGAAAGTGTTGAATCCCATCAAAGAGGTATAGATAGAGTGTTAAGGAAATTCAGAATGCATGTATTATGTTCATCCAAAGAGATCAGGAGAGACACTACAAAGGTATATATTTCAGCTGGGTCTAAAGGGTGAGTATGCAGAAAAGGGAACATTCTAGGTAGAGGGGACAATGAAGATGGAAAATTTTAGAGAATGTATGGAGAGCAGCTAAGAATTTGGGAGCTTGATAGATATAATTAGGTAAAAGTTGGAAAGCTGTATTTAGGGTCGATTTTAAGAGATCTGAATGCCATGGTGATGATGCTGGTAGTGACAATGATAGCAGCTAACATCTTTTGAGCGTGTGCTGTTTGGCAGTCACTCTTCAACTGCTTTATAGTAATTGACTCATCCAGTAGTCATAACTCTGTAACATAAGGATTGTTGTTTCCATTTTACACTCAAGAAAGCTGAAAGATAACTTGTCCTAGGTCACACAGGTAGAAAATGATAGAGCTAGAATATGAACCTAGTCTGGCTCTATCTAGATTCTGTACTTTCCGCTTTATGTTAAATGGACTTTAATCTGTAGCCAATAGGAAAGTCAATAAGTTTTCCTTTTTCTTTCTTTAAAAATTCAAGGAGTTGATGTGATCAGAGCTGTGTTTTAGGAAGGTTAAACTTGCTGTGATGTGTATGTAGGCTGGATTTGGGGAGGGGAAAGAAGGATGGTGCTCTCAAACCGTCATTAGCAGGAATTAATAGAAAGGACTCCGACAGTATATGGAGGAACAGATCAGACTAAGGTAAGATGAATTAATTTCAGTTTGATCTAAAATTACTATAAATATCACAGCAATATTTCTCTCTGAAAATAGGCAAAATGGTAGGAAAGAAGGGAACCAAAATAGACTTTGGTTCTGTTTGAAAGTTCGTCAAATAATTCAGTGAAACATTAGCCATAATTGATTTTTGTCTGCCTTGTTTAATTTGAAACTTATTGCTAAACTTTATTTATTATGAAATTTTGTTTTAATATTATGAAAATAAATTTTGTACGCTGAAATAATGAAAATGGTTTCACTATTTCCTTATAAATCAATTGTTTTCATGTCACCAAATTTTACCTATTCTGTTACATGATTTTCCATTCCTTGAATTAAATTTAGACATATTTTACATGTGAAAATAAAGATGTCTTAAATACTTTGCATTTTGGTTATTGCTCCCTTGCGGATGCAGGCGCACATTCAGGGGAGTTCATATATGGCTTGGAAAACTTTCTTTACAAGGACATCAAGCCTGGTGGGTATGCATGGTTAATTATATTCAGCTATATAAAAAATAACATTTTTACCTGTACTTGTGCTTTTAATGGAGTCCGTTTGATGACTCCATTAAAGAATTTAGAAAATATGGAAATGTAATTCGGATTTTTCCCCTTTACCATCATTTCCTTTTCCCTACCTTCTGCCACCATTTATTCATTCACTAAATACTTAGTGTCTTCTTGTGGCAAGCACCACTGGATGCTGAGTGTTCATGGCTTGAAACAAGCACGATCCACTGCTGTTGTGAAGCTTCCAGTTTGATCTATAAATACCTTTCAAATCCGGACTGCCCTTTTGACTTTAGTTCTATGCTATATATGCTAGTGTACTAGTTTCTTAATTAGGCAGTTCCTCTCCTTAGCTGTGGTTTTCAAATTTGTACAGAGCAATAAAATGGAACGTTTTTTATTGAGTGAGACTTTATTCACAGCCTTGATAGGTGTTCCTCTTTGATCCTCCCTGATTTGCTTCACCTCTGCTGTAGCTCCAGAGGTACGTCTAGATTTCTGTTCTATACAACATACTGAAATCTGAAGCTTCACAAAAGGCAACTTGAAGCTGACTTCTTTAAGATTTGCAATAGAATTCTTCTGTTTCCTGAGAAATTTACCAAATAATAATTTGATACATTTTTCATAACTAAAGCAGCTTGTCATACTACTTCAGATTTAAAGTTTATTTTAATTAAATGGCAAAGCAGGGTCTGTGTCTTGAAGTATAAGCAATAGTTAAAATAGAACTATTTCTGCATCTAGACACTTCTTTAATATTTAACTTCATTTTGACAAATGGAAGAAGATTTTGCATGCAAATTTCACAGCATTGAAATTATCTGAAACTGGCATCTCTTTTAACAAATCTGCTCCTTTGGTAACTATGGCTGACTATATTAATTTGTCCTAGTTACTTTGTTTAATGATAAAAGCATGGAGATATTCATGGCTCACTGTCCAATTTTGCAGGTTATAATTGAACTATAGCCTGCCATGGGTGGTATCTTCTGATCCTACTAGGAATAACCTGCCTCCAAGATACAAATGAATTCTAGTAGCCCATTAAAAAAAAAATAAGTCGTTGTAAAGGAAAACCTAATTGATTTAGTTTACATTTTTTCAAAAAAGGTACATTAACCTGGTAAAAAATAGGCCTAGAATATGAACGATTCTGAAATGAGAATAATTAATTTTGTTAATATCATCTTCAGCCAGCTAGGATTTAATGTGTACTTTATGATCCTTTCATTTTTTTCAGTTTCTAAGTGTACATTCATTCCTCACTTGATAATCATTTAAAAAACATTATTCTAGAGCAGTGGTTCTCATAAGCCAAACTGTTTTCATAACAATAAGACATTATTTGAGTTTTCATTGTGCTGTTGGTACAAAAGCAACATTGTGTAAAGTTGCTGGTTGCCTTAGCATGAAAGCAAGGCCATGGCACCAAACTGTACTAGTAGCTGTTGTATTGTTCACAACCATGCACTCCCAGTATAAAACAAAACAAAACAAAAAAAGCACCAGTTTAACTTAAGAATGTCCTTGATGAAGCAGGAAAACTTTAATTTTGTTAAATTTCAGTTCTTGAGTTATGTGTCTTTAAAATTTGATGTGACAAAAGAGGAAGTGTGCGTAAATCACAAATGCAGACTAAGAGTAGGATAATTGTTTTATGGAAAAGTTCTTGTGCAGTTTGAGTTGTTTGCTGAACTAGTCACCTCTCTCATGGAAAATGATATTCCTTGAAAGAGTAACTGACAGACTATTCTTACTCAGATCAGGGTGTTTGGTAGACACTTCAACAAAACATCTTCAAGAAAAAACTGACAATGTTGTCAATGATAAGGTCTGAACTTCTGAACAAAATTTAGAATTTTGGAAAACTTGTATTTGCCACCTTGAGCTTGACAGCTTCCCAAAACTTAGAAAACTTTTCTGATGAAATTGGTCATGGTATTAGCAAATGTGATTTTGGGTATTAAATAATGAAATGACTCAACATTTAGAAATCTGCATAATGCAATGAAGCAATATTTCTATATTACCAGTGCATAATAAAAAAATCAATAATGTGTAAAAGTCCATATAAAATGCATGGTAAACCAATTGATATTAATTTGGATGAAAAATGAATTGGTTGAGTTCAGATTCCAAGATGCAACTACCCATTAAGAAACTACCACTTGATGAGTTTGGGTGTCATATCCATAGTTACCTGAAAAAGTTATGAAGATAGATGTTCCTCCCTTTTTTATTATATATCTGTACTTAGATCAGAATGTCTTCATATGCTTCAATCTAAGCAACATATCTCAAAAGATCAAAGGCAGTAGGAATCCAGCAGTTTTCTACTAAGCCAGACATTAAAGGAATTTGGAAGAATGTAAAATCCCATGCCACTCTTCTCAGTACTTTTTGTTTGAAAATAGTTATTTTTCATAAATATGTTACTTTTGCTCTCACATAATGACTTTTTTGAGTTAATTTTAAAATGTTTTTCTCAGTTTTGATTTCCAGTATGGCAAATATCAGTAACTAACTCACACTAATAAAAAATTCCTTAAGGTTCTCAAGTTTTAAGTGTGTTAAAGTGGCCCTGAGACCAAAGTATTTTAGGACTGCTTTAGAGAGTGATTGAGAATCACAAATGTATTAATTATCAGGTTAAATAGACAGTTTCTCTAAAGAGCTATGTAGCACTCAGATTACTAATTTTCAGTATATTTGGAGAGGTTTAAACATGGTGCATTTAATACGGTGATCAATTGTGGAACAAGGGGCTAGGACAAATGTGAAGCTAGAAAGATAATAGGTCAGGTAAGAAAACGGATTATGGTATAATCTAAACCCAGGTAGCTGAGTCTGTCTCTGAAAGCTGTTCAGCCAAGTGGGATGGTTTTCAGGGCTACTCTGGCTTTCTTAATTGTTTCTTTTCAAATGGTTATCTTTGAGACCTTAGTCTTTTCTAGATGTTTTGTTTAGGAATGAAAATGATTCAGGGACCATCAGTTTGGCAAGAAATATTGGTAATAGCAAAGTGCAGATTCTGGTACATATTTATTAAATATTTTCTTCTTAATACTCAAGGTTTTATTCTTGTCATCCTGGATTTGGTTCTTAGTTTTTGTTGTGGCAGGGCAATTTGCTTTAAAATATCAAGGAAAACCAAATTTTAAAGTTCAAGATAAATTTCATGTATATTCTGTTAAATATATATAATGTTAACTGAGTTTATATGTTTTATTATAATGTTCAGATGTGTATTTTTTTTATTCATTTGAACAGATATATATCATGCGCTTTATGCTCAGATTTTGGGTAATTCCTTCCTAATGAAGATATCTGCCTGGTGGCAAAACAGTTGTGCAAGCACTTCAAATATAGTATAATCACAGCTCAGTGGACATAAGGTGCAAGGGTAGGTGGCCCTGGAGCTGCTTGAAATAGTTGTAGAAGGCTTCACACAGGCAGCAGTGCTCTATCAGATATTTGGAAGCCTTCTAGGAATTTGGTGAAAAACTTAAGGGAGGATGACCCAGAATGACACATATAGAGACATTAGGCATTAGAAAGTTATGGCTTGTTTTATAATATGACAGATAGTATTTCTAAAGTATCTAATGCACAGATGAGTGGAGGAGATAGATCATTGAAAGGACCATTGTGTTGTATAAAAGCTTTTTCATTATATCGGGCAGACTACAGAGAGCCTTTAAATGAATTTCAAGCAGGAGATTAACAGACTGAATAGTATTTCAGAAGGTATTCGTCCCGATCTGGTAGCAACATACAGAAGGATGTGTAGAGGAAGGTGGAGTGGACACTAAAGGCAGCGTGCCTCAAGAGTGTAGACTGGAGTCCGTGTCTAGTAGGCAATTGAATATAAAGACTTAACTTGGATAAGTGTTGGTCAATGTCATCAGGTGAGACAGTGCCAAATAAAAGGATGAAGTTTTAAAAGAATTATTAAGCCAATTTCAACGTGCAGTTCAATGTACATTTTATGGCCTTTGTATTCTATATATCCTTAAGTCATTAAAGGATTTTGCTGGTGAGGTGAATCATCCAAAGGAAGTCTTCTGTCAGCATGCTACCCATTCATTTCATCTGTGTTCCTGTGTCCCTACTGCACATTTATCAAAACTTTCCTCTGAAAGTTTTATATTCTGTCATTATTACATTTCTAATATTTTGGTAACATAGAAATTAAAACCGAACTTTGTATTGTGAAAATATCACAATATTATTATTATATAATATATATATATCACAAATACAAATATTATAAAGGGCATTATATATGGATATTTTGTCCAATTTTTTTATAATTGTACCTGCCAAGTTAATTTCTATATTAAAGAGGCTATTCTAGATGACAGGTTTGTGAATTTATGTATTGCAATAGCAGGTCAGTTTGGAATAAAGTAAGGTGATTTGTACTAAAACTTGCTCTCAGGAAGAAATCTCTTGTTTTCTTTTCTGTCCTCTAGTCTGCTAACTTGAATTTTATCCTTTTCTCACTAAAATGCTTCCACTGAGAAGGACGTAAACGTAAAAAGCACAAAAAACATTTTAAGAAACCTTTTAAAGGTCTTGATCGCTCAAAAGGTAGGTAAAAGTAGTTTTTATGCCATGTGTTAACTTACACACGTTCCCACTTGATTTCTATCTTCAAAGGTAAAATGATTGTTAGATTACAATGTAACTTCAAAAGTAAGTTTTAAGTTGGAAATGCATATTAAAATCTAACATAAACCTGAAATAATAAAACAAGGACACTAGAACAGGCTGTGATTTCTGTTGAGTAGTGCCTTAGGTATCCTTTGGTCTTTGAGTATGAGACTTACGAGAATTTCAAGTCTTGAGCTTGTATTTTTTTTTTTTTACAGATAAGCTCAAAGAAGGCAAAAAAGATACATTTTTAGAAAAATTGGCAACTCAAGTAATTAAAAACGTACAAGTAAAAATCACAGACATTCACATTAAATATGAAGATGATGTGAGTAATTTCGGTTTACTCAGTTTACTTTAGTAATTAAATGTGTGTTTTATGATAATAATTCTTGATTTGTCTATATATGGATTATCTGTACCCAATTTTTAAACCCAAGATTGAGTTTTTCTGATAGTGCAGTACCATATCCTCTGTTAGTCATTTTTCATTGGGCTTTTATTTGTGTAAATTTATCATAAAACCACCATGTGCTTCTTTCTAAAGTTAACAAGAGGTTTTCAGATTGTCCTCTGAATTTTGTTTAATGCCTTAGGCTTATACTATTGTAACTTTAAGGAACTAAATTTTTTTTATACTGACAAAAAAAATACGTTTTAAGAGATGATGAAACAATTATAATTGTGGTCAGTCATGTAGGTCACTTGACTGCTAGTTCCATTCTTTTGATATTGTATCGAGTTGGAGTGAACATCCACAACTACTCACATACATGTGCAACAATGTATTTAGAAACCAAACCTTACTTATAACAGAACTTTAACATTAGTTGATTAGGAACTGTTTTATTGATTAGTTTTAGTTAAAATGTAACAGATTTTTTTAACTTAATATGTCTTGTTTTGTTTAAAGTTTGAAACATGTAAAAGACCTTCCATATTTGCATTTACCTAAGAAATTGGAAATGTTATTTCGTCTCTTCCAAAAATGAATTTGTGTGTTTTTTTTTTTTTATTTGCTTTAACTTTGGGTTGAATTAAAGTAATACCAACACGTTAGAATTTATTTTCCTATTCTGATAAGTTCCTTATTTAACTTAATATTCAGTAAGACACACTGTAGTTTTTCAGGATACATTATCTCTATCTTATACTGACTTTATATTTTGGCTTTAGGTAGTCATTAAACTGAATTTTGTCAACAAATAAATGCCCATGAAACCTAATTCATAAATGCTCTTACTTAAAACAAACATGGGAAAATAAAATCTACTTAACATGTGGCAGTGAAAGAATTATTCTTAAAACTAATGGCATATGATATGTTTAAACTGAAACTGAGCAAGTCCAATTAGAAAGGTACATTATTTAATAAAGATACTCTTTAATTAAAAAAATACAGAGGTAAAGAGAATATTTATGTTTAAACTGGTATCAGTAGCAAAATGTATTAAAATATTTAAAGGAAAAGAATTAAAAGGTGCAAAGGGATCTTGTATCGTTTTTCTTTCAATGTGATTACCTTAGTTATTATATGTAGAGGAATAATGAAAAATATAGTGTAGGAAGTGGGGTAGGAAAAGTATAATAATTTATAAAGATGCTTCTTGAATGATGGTAGTAGTTTGTGGGTAATACATTAGCAACTGAGGACTGTGTTTTGTTTAAGTTCCTTCTGTTTTGACCTAGTTATCTGTAGGTATAAAAACATGAGTGTGGGAATAAAGGAAAATATGTTTTGCCACAAATTATAATACATGTGATATTAAAAAACAAAGCATTTAAAGCTATTTGTGCTTTTCAGCTATACCAGAGCATGTATTTTTCCTGTTTAAGAAGGGTCTGTGTGACTAAATTCTAGAGTCCTTGTTGATTGAGTTGGAACATTATGTTTTTTCTTCTCTCTCTCATTTCCCTTGTTTGTCCTAGACAAAGAACTCTGTATGACTTTTGGACCTCTTTACGATGTCTAAAACAATTACATGGTACAAATTGTGGCACAGGTTAAGCACTGTGTATAAATATATCTTAGGTATTGATGGTCGGAAATAGAACAGAAGTTTAACATTAGCAGGTTTGAGGTTAAGAGACAAAATAAATTAATCATTAAAAATCTTGGACATTTCCTAACAAAACATTTTCGAGCTGTCAAGGAAATTAAAGGCTTAAAGAGACAGTTCACATTTCTAAGTGAAAATTTTCAAAGTTTTACAATAATTTAGTGGCAGTTTTATCTGTGACACCTTGTTTTATTTATCTTTGAAGAATATCTTTAACGATATATATGAAGAGACTGGCTCTTTATAACCATCTAGGGAAGAATCTGTTTAGTCACTGTTAGTGAGTCTTCTCATTTCTAATAAGAAAAGAAGTACTTTGGGATGGTGAAGAGTATCATGCCTGCAAAATATGGATAATCCCAGCCATATAATTGCCTTCTTCCTCCTCCTTTTCCACATATCCATCTGGGTTGTGTGATACTTGTAAATTAATTGCCTTATGTTGCTTGTTAAAGAGTGGAGCACAGATTCACCCTCACCATATATTTTAATGTCTCCTTTTCTTCTTTGATAGGTCACTGATCCAAAGCGGCCTCTTTCATTTGGTCTCACACTGGGAGAGCTTAGTCTATTGGTAATGTTGGCTTTACGTAAAATTTCTGTGGAGACTGTAAAATATTATTCCGAAGTCACATTGTGAATTGCCTAAAATCAACTCTTGCTATAAATAGCTGTTTTACTTTTATATATAATCTTTCTGCAGCTTGTTGAGAAGTTCAAGAGTTTATAGTAATGCTATTACTATATTCTCTATTTTGATTTCTCTTTGATTTTTTTTCTAAAAGTTAGTATGATGTTTTATGTTTTTAAATTTTTAATCTTAAGATATTATTGATATACAATCTTATGAAAGTTTCTCATGAGCAACATTGTGGTTTCAGCATTCACCCATATTATCAAGTTCCCCTCCCCAACCCCACTGCAGTCACTGTCCATCAGGGTAGTAAGATGCTATAGAGTCATTACTTGTCTTCTCTGTGCTATACTGCCTTCCCCATGACTTATGTATATTGTGATTACTAATTATAATGCCCCTTAATCCCCTTCTCCCTCCTTCCCCACCCACTCTCCCCGACCCCTTTCCTTTGGTAACCGCCAGTCCTTTCTTGGAGTTTGCAGCTATTTAGTTCCTTTAGCTTTTGCTTTGTTGTTATACTCCACAAATGAGGGAAATCATTTGGTACTTGTCTTTCTCCACCTGGCTTATTTCACTAAGCATAATACCCTCTAGCTCCATCCATGTTGTTGCAAATGGTAGGATTTGTTTTCTTTTTATGGCTGAATAATATTCCATTGTGTATATGTACCAGCTCTTTTTTATCCATTCATCTACCGATGGACACTTAGGTTGCTTCCATATCTTGGTTATTGTAAATAGTGCTGCAGTAAACATAGGGGTGCATATGTCTTTTTGAATCTGAGAAGTTGTTTTCTTTGGATAAATTCCTGGAAGTGGAATTCCTGGGTCAAGCAGTATTTCTACTTTTAGTTTTTTGAGGAATCTCCATATTGGTTTCCACAATGATTGAACTAAATTGCATTCCCACCAACAGTGTAGGAGGGTTCCCCTTTCTCTACATCCTTGCCAGCATTTGTTGTTTCTTGTTTTTTGGATGTTGGCCATCCTAACTGGTGTGAGGTGATATCTCATTGTGGTTTTAATTTGCATTTCCCTGATGATTAGTGATGTGGGGCATCTTTTCATGTGCCTGTTGGCCATCTGAATTTCTTCTTTGAAAAAGTGTCTGTTCAGCTCCTCTGCCCATCTTTTAATCATGTTATTTGTTTTTTGGGTGTTGAGGCATGTGAACTCTTTATGTATTTTGTTAACCCCTTATCGGATAGGTCCTTAATGAATATATTCTCCCATACTGTAGGATGCCTTTTTGTTCTGCTAATGGTGTCCTTTGCTGTACAGAAGCTTTTAAATTTGATGTCCTATTCATTTTTGCTTTTGTTTCCCTTGCCTGAGATGTGTTCAGGAAAAAGTTGCTCATGTTTATAGTCAAGAGATTTTTTTGCCTCTGTTTTCTTCTATGAGTTTTATGGTTTCATAACTTACATTCAAGTCTTTGATCCATTGTGTGTTTACTTTTGTGTATGGGGTTGGACAATAATCCAGTTTCATTATCTTGCATGTAGCTGTACAGTTTTGCCAACGTGAGTTGTTGAAGAGACTGTCATTTCCCCACTGCATATTCATGGCTCCTTTATCATATATTAATTGGCCATATATGTGTGGGTTTATATCTGGGCTCTCTATTCTGTTCCATTGATCTATGGCTCTTTTCTTGTGCCAGTACCAAATTGTTTTGATTACAGTGGCTTTGTAGTAGAGCTTGAAGTCAGGGAGTGTAATCCCCCCAGCTTTGTTCTTCCTTCTCAGGATTTCTTTGTCCATTTGGGGTCTCTTGTGGTTCCATATGAATTTTAGAATTATTTGCTCTAATTTGTTGAAGAATGCTATTGGTATTTTGATAGGGATTGCATTGAATCTGTAGATTGCTTTAGGAAGTATGGCCATTTTGATTTGTCTTTGATTTTAACAAATAGTAAAATATCAATATGAAATGTTTGAAAGAATTAAAAGCTGTTTCTTAAACATGGGGAAGTAGGTAAGATAAATTTCTATAGAGTCATGTTCTTATTCTTGGCATAGGTATATGGAATTTCCATATAGCTTATATGTGTGTGAATGTTTTATGTATGTGTGCATGTTTGTGTGTGTATGTATATATGTGTATATTACATTGAGATGCATATAAGGTAATTTATTTAGATGAAGTATTTTGTTCTGCAGTTTAGTCTTTCTCTTAAAGGACTTTAAGGATAGAGAGTGTGTATATGCAGGTTGGACATTTTTTTTTTCTGTTAGGGAAAACTTAAGTAGTAGGCAACATGATTTGATTTAAAATTAAGAACAATGAACAGTAAATCACATTTCCCTTATGATAAGTTATATGAACAGGCCCTTAAAAGAGAAAGAAAAAAATCAAAGACAAGTGGACTGCCAGAGAAACAGAAAAAGGACATGTTTATGTGGAGGTCTTTAACAATGACATACATGCAGAGAAATAGAGATACCCATTGAGTTGAGAACCAAAGCAGAAACATTAAAGATAAAGAATTGGAGAAAGAAAGGAAAGGTAGTCAAGGAAGCTAGCATTTAATATATGGTTTATCCTCTGCCTGTGTCTAAAATGAATTTGAAGTAGCTTTTGATAAATAGACCAGAGACTAGAATTTGTGTTGCAATTCTGTATTGTCATTCAGAATGATTTGATTCTGTCATTCAGATATGTAAAAAAACAGCTAACATTAGCCAACATTAGCTAGTTGTGTTGCAGAGATAATTGTTGCAGAAAAATTAGACTAACAATATTAATCATTAGTAAGCCCAATATTTGTTTAGCAGAAAACAAAAATAGTCCTGGGCCTTCCATTGACCAATAATAGGCATACTGTGCATAAGAATGATGGATAATGTCTTTAGTGTGTGCTGTTGTTTGCTTCACAGTATTTTTGCTGAGGTTCTTCATACTGTTTTCTTTTTCTATATTACTTTCTTTCCTTTGTCTGCCTGGTGATTCTATTCAGGTTTTAGTATTCATGTGAGCTATTACCATGTTCTTTCTCATGCCTTTTTTACTTCCCTGTTAGACTTCATATTCTTTTATGCTCCCCATTATGTTTTATCAAAGCACTGTGACATGTTTTTATACTGGCTGTCATGTTGGTCTCCTTCTAACCTTCATTGATTGATTGATACAGTAGTACTTATATTTTAGTGTTTTTGTGATGATTCAGTGAGATAGTTTGTGTAAAGCATTTGGCACATTGTCTCACTCATTTATGTCCTGCTTCAGCTACTACATTAACTATAATAAAACAATAACAGTAAACTTACTTTTTTCTGTGTCCATTGCATTCCATCTTTTCAATTGCAATCTCTTACATTTGAGGTACTCTTCCCACCTCTGATCTGGAGCCCATCTTCCCGTTAAGCTCTCAGGAGCCTTTTTTCTCTCCCTCTCTCCCTCCCTTCCTCCCTTTCCTCCTTCTGTCGATTTCTTTCTCCTTCCTAAATTTTCAACTCCCCTTCATTTTTTCCCTCCTCCACTCCTTCTTGTAACCATTTAAACACCTACAAGTCTCTCCTTTACAACAAAATTAAAAAGGCTCTTAACTCCAGCTAGGCCCCATCTAACTACTCCCTTCTCTTTCTCTTCTTTCTGGCTAAACTTTTTGAGAAAATTCTCTACTTTTTCTATCTTTATTTCCTCACGTTGTCCTCACACATTACCCACTGTACTCTTACTCTACAGCTCCACTGCAGTTACTCTGATTTCAGCAAGTTGTCGGTAATGCGGTAGCTGCTGAAAGTTTATTTCAGTTTCTCTCAAGGCAACACTTGGCACTGCTGACCTTGCTGACTTTCTAGAAGCATGGTCATGCTGTGATTTCCATATTTTCCTGGTTTCTTCCTACTTTGCAATAATTATTTGATTTTTTTAAAAATGTGGACCTTCTTCAGTATCATATAAGCTAACTCTCTGTTTTTATTTATATGTAATTCCTTCCACAGTTCATTCACATAGTAGCACAATAATTATTTTCTAGATGAATGAGCTCAATTAAATCAGAACCTCCTCAATTCTGTTTTCACTGTTCCTTTTATTTTGTCATTCAGCTATGTAAAGAATTAGCTAACATTAACCCACATTAGCTAGATGTCCTTTCTTTCTAAGTTATTTTGTTATAGTTTACAAATATTAGGGCACTATTTTTTGGTTTATATACTAAGTAGTCATTCTCTTTTTTCCTTTTAGACTGCAAATGAACACTGGACTCCATGCATATTAAATGAAGCAGAAAAAATTATATATAAGGTATTAGACTAGATTAAAAATTTCTTGTTATTTTCCTAGGTATAAACACAATGCATTTTCTTGGAGAAACTTTTGGAGCAGAATGTGCCATTAAAGTGTGAGTTAAAAGTGTAGGGTCTAATTTTGTCTCTTCTACTTACTGTGTGACCCTCTATAATCACTTACTATTCTGAGATTTAGGTTCTTCACTTAACATTTAAGGAAACTGAATAAAATTAATATTCTAAAATTGTGTTTTATGGAGCATTAGGTAATTGACATATTATTAGATTTGTGAAAAAATATTCTCTGGTCAAGGAAGATTACTGACTAAACTACAAATTGTACATAGTTAAACAAGTATATTTTATTGTGTTTTAAACTACAGGATTTCACAGTACCTTAAATATGCTAAAAAGCATTACAAATTATCAAGAGGGATATTTAGCATGTAGCTTTCCCTACTTTGTTGACCGTAAATCCTTTCCCTTCACTTCTCCCTTGAAACAGCCATTCATATCCATGAGGGAATCATGTCTTTCTTATTCAGCAAAACATTTACAGGGTCATTAAATACTAAATTTTCAATTGATATTTGATAATCAAATGAATAAATCTCCTTGGAAATAGTGTTCCTGGAAGCACAATTTAGCAAATACTAGATTAATAATAAAGTCTGTGAATAATGCATATATTTTCTTCCATTTTTTCATCATTTTCTTACCTTTAGAAGTTCAGAGTGGCAATTGGGTAATTTTGGGGGTAGTGAATATGAGGATTAGATTTTAATACTGATTCACAATTTCAATGTATTAGTTGTTTGACCTCTGTCATTTTTCTTTTATAGCTTATACGACTTGACAGTCTTAGTGCCTACTGGAATGTAAACTGCCGCATGTCTTACCAGGGATCAAGGGAACAGATCTTGGTAATTTCAGTTTATATCTGGAAGAGCTAACTACATTGTCTGAATTTGTTTAAAATAAGAGGTCCTTAATGAGGACACATTATCAATTCTTTTAAGTTGTATATAACTAAATCAGAGGTGTGAAATACAGTTTTTGAAATCCAATCTGTTTTTAAAGAAACACTTTTATTTTTGAAGATCTTTGTGAAATCATTCACTAGATAGTGAGATGAGAACCTATACTACTACATTAAAAGTGCATTTATGGGTTTTTACACTGTCATTTTGATGGCATTCTGGTTACATTGTGTTATTTTATGTGAGGATGATTATGTGAAGAGTATTATAAAGAAAGATGATACCTTTTCAAATCTAAAGACTGTCTCCTTAGCAAATGTTTTAAGCATTTGTGATAATGAGTTCCTGAACAGTGAAAGGCTAATTCAAAACTTCAGTGTTTGCTAAGCCTGTCATGTTTATTTACTTAGAGGAGAAAGGTAGAGCAGCTGAATTTTCGGAACTGAATTAATTTCAGGTTCTCTTACTTCTCAAAAGGATATAATAACAATTAATATGCCTTTGTTTAGAAAGTGGGATCCCAATTCATGGATGTTTATATAGATTTTTTAAAGTCACAGGGGAACACAGCATTATATAACATTTCTAGATGTTTAGGATTTAAAAAAAATCTTTCTGTATTTTATTCTATAGTAATACACCTGTAAATAATGCTCAGTGTGTTTTATAGACTACTAACTACAAAGAGGGAAATAAAGATATCGATTAAAGAAAGAATCAAGTTTTTCTGTTTGTACGTGTGGCTGAATATGTGTGCATTTTCTTTTTCACTCTCATTTAGTTCAAATTTTTTGTTTAGGAGCAGCTGAAAAGTGAAATTGTTACAAGTAATAATATATCCCTACAGCATCAATATAGTAAGTAATGGTAAAAGTTTATTTATGTTATAGGAGGCATGAAATTAAGTACACTATTTTAATACATTTTCTCTGATAAAGTTACTTTGACAAAGACAAATACAGCAAGTTTGGATTATCATTGATTATTTAGGATACATTATAACACCTACCACTGAAGAGTAAGAGAGAGAATGGCAATGTGGCTGCTGTAGTTCAGTCCTAATAGCTAACACCCCTTGAGGTCAACATTTTCTTCTTATCTTCTTTGTTTTAGGAATTAGGTTTTCTTTTCTTTGTTTTAATAACTAAGTCTCTGAAGTTTTGGTATTTAGGTCAGTGTTATTAACTTCTTCAGTGTAAAGACAAACCAACCACTGTAGAGACTTTTCTTAAGTGGGTTTTTCTGTTCTTGGGAGCCTCAACATTATTTATTTTTAAATAGACCTCTGATGGAGCTGCCTGCTTATTTATTTATTTATCCCATCTGTTTTCTCCATTTCAGTTTCATTCTAAAGAAGCTACTGCTTTTTTTTTTAAGTTTTAATTATGAACCCTTTTATGCTCATTCTCAGCTTCCATGGCCTGTTCTTCCTTATTTCATGTAACTCTGGTTCACTCCTGTTTCTTCATGCTCTTTTATACGTGATTGCCATTATAAGACAGTTGGCACTCTCTTTATGTTCATAGTGTTCTCTATTTAATGATGATAATGTTTTCAGATGCTGCTTGTTTGTGATATATATTAGTATTTTTAATAAATAATAAAATCATTGAAAGTCTTGTAGAAGGAAGAGAAGCCTAACTTTACAGACTCTGAATAACCAAGAGTAGATTGTTGTCTATATTTTGTATATTTTTACTTAGAAGCATAGGACTTCAATCACCTTCATAGAAATTTCTCTTTAACTGACTGTTGGTATTATGCAGATAAGTAGATGCTTAAATATTTTTTGGTAGTGATTTTTCTACATGTTTTTTTTAACATTTTTATCATTTTTCTATACTTTCAGAGTAACAGTGTTCTCATAATTATTTACAGTTGTTCATAGGTAAGGGCATATAAATGTACCTTATGTCTTCCCCTGTGATATAAGTTTTTCAGCCAATATCAGCCTCTGCAAAACTGTATATGAATCCTTATGCAGAAACAGAGCTCAAAACTCCCAAACTTGACTGGAACATAGAAGTACAAAATATTGCTATTGAACTGACAAAACCTCAGGTAAGATTCAGCTGGCCATTTTCAACTTTGATTAGCCTTAAATCTCAAGTGCTTTTGTTCTGTGATTATTCCTTCTCCAATGTTCTGGTGGTTTTGGTTTTTTACACCGAGATTTGATTCCAGATGGAAGTCAAATGATGGTCCACAGGAAAACATGTAGTTCTAGACACAACTATATACCATGGCAGTACTTAGAGATACCGTATTTCATTGTGCATTTTACACTTTAACATATTTGAAAATAGGATGAATATCATAATTGGTAATAATGACAGTTTAATTGGCAGCACTGTTTTCTCTAATAGTGGAACTTAATGATATATATATATAATGATATAATATATAATTATAATTATACACAACTTAATGTTTATTAGACTGTATGTTAAATTTTGATGAAACATTGATTTACCAGGTATCTGTGATAATCACTACTCAGGAAATTTGGAGTCTCATTAGTCCAAAAATAAAATAAAATTTGGTGTTTATTCATGTGTGGAATATAATAAATGTGACTTTGTTTTTGTTTTTCACAGTACCTAAGTATGATTGACCTTTTGGAGTCAGTGGATTATATGGTTAGAAATGCCCCCTACAGGAAATACAAGCCTTATTTACCACTTCACTCCAATGGTCGACAGTGGTAAGTCAGAATTTTTTTTTTAATGAGAAACATATAGTCATATAGTTAGGGACTCTCAGAGTTAAGAGAACTTTAAAGCTGTGTTATGAAGCCCTTTTTCTTTTACACACTTGAGAGGGGTATCTTTTTTATTATGTCTTTGTTACTTTACATTTATTTATTTTATTAAGGTATCATTGATATATATAATCTTATGCTCAGATTTCGTATGAGCAACATTGTGGTTACTACATTCCCCCCTGTTAATCAAGTCCCCACCACATTACCCCATTACAGTCCCTGTCCATCAGCATAGTATGATGCTATAGAGTCAATACTTGTCTTCTCTGTACTATACTTCCTTCCCTGTGCACCTCCTCCCCCCATATTATGTGTGCTAATCATAACCCCTTAATCCCCTTTTCCTCCCTTCCCACCCACCCTCCCCAACCCTTTTCCCTTTGGTAATTGCGAGTCCATTTTTGGGTTCTGTGAATCTGCTGCTGTTTTGTTCCTTCAGTTTTTGCTTTGTTGTTATATTCCACAGGTGTGTGAGATCATTTGGTACCTGTCTTTCTCCACCTGGCTTATTTCACTAAGCATAATATCCTCTAGCTCCATCCATGTTGCAAATGATAGGATTTGTTTTCTTCTTATGGCTGAATAATATTCCATTGTGTATATGTACCAGTTCTTCTTTATCCATTCATCTGCTGATGAACACTTAGATTGCTTCCATATCTTGGTTATTGTAAATAGTGCTACAATAAACATAGGGGTGCATATGTCTTTTTGAATCTGAGAAATTGTATTCTTTTGGGTAAAGAGTGGAATTCCTGGGTCAAATAGAATTTCTATTTTTAGGATTTTGAGGAACTCCATATTACTTACCACAGTGGTTGAACTAGTTTACATTTCCACCAGCAGTGTAAGAGGGTTCCCCTTTCTCCTCGCCAGAATTTGTTGTTCTTAGACTTTTCCATGCTGGCCATCCTAACTGGTGTGAGGTGGTATCTCACTGTGGTTTTAATTTGCATTTCTCTGATGATTAGTGATGTGGAGCATCTTTTCATGTGCCTGTTGATCATCTGAATTTCTTCTTTGGAGAATTGTCTGTACATATCCTCTGCACATTTTTTAATCAGATTAAATGCTTTTTGGTTGTTGAGTCATGTGAGTTCTTTATATATTTTGGACGTTAACCCCTTGTTGGATATGTCATTTACAAACATATTCTCCCATACTGTAGGATACCTTTTTGTTCTGCTCATGGTGTCCTTTGTTGTACAGAAACTTTTCAGCTTGATGTAGTCCCACTTGTTCATTTTTTGCTTTTGTTTCCCTTGCCCAAGGAGATGTGTTCAGGAAAAAGGAGCTCATGTTTATATTCAGGCGATTTTTACCTATGTTGTCTTCTAAGAGTTTTATGGTTTCATGATTTATATTCAGGTCTTTGATCCATTTTGAGTTTACTTTTGTATGTGCAGTTAGACAACAATCCAGTTTCATTCTCTTGCATGTAGTTGTCCAATTTTGCCAACACCTGTTGAAGAGACTGTCATTTCCCCATTGTATGTCCATGTCTCCTTTATTGTATATTAATTGACCATATATGCTTGGGTTTGTATCTGGGCTCTTTAGTCTGTTCCACTGGTCTATGGGTCTCTTCTGCCAGTACCAAATTGTCTTGATTACTGTGGCTTTGTAGTAGAGCTTGAAGTTGGGGAGTGTAATCCCCGCAGCTTTACTCTTCCTTCTCAGGATTGCTTTGGTTATTCAGGGTCTTTTCTGGTTCTATATGAATTTTAGAACTATTTACTCTAGTTCATTGAAGAATGCTGTTGGTATTTTGATAGGGATTGCATTGAATCTGTAGATTGCTTTAGACAGGATGGCCATTTTGACAGTATTAATTCTTCCTTTCCAAGAGCACAGGATGTATTTCCATTTATTGGTATCTTCTTTAATTTCTGTCATGAGTGTCTTGTAGTTTTCAGAGTATAGGTCTTTCACCTCCTTGGTTAGATTTATTCCTAGGTATTTTATTCTTTTTGATACAATTGTGAATGGAATTGTTTTCCTGATTTCTCTTTCTGCTAGTTCATCCTTAATGTATACAGATTTCTGTGTATTAATTTTGTATGCTGCAACTTTGTTGAATTCAGATATTAGGCCTAGTAGTTTGGGAGTGGATTCTTTAGGGTTTTCTATGTACAGTATTATATTACCTGCAAACAGTGACAGTTTAACTTCATCTTTACCAATCTGGATGCCTTTTATTTCTTTGCATTGTCTGATTGCCATGGCTAGGACCTCCGGAACTATGTTGAATAAAAGTGGGGAGAGTGGGCATCCTTGTCTTGTTACCGATCTTAAAGGACAAGCTTTCAGCTTTTTACTATTAAGTTTGATGTTGGCTGTGGATTTGTCTTTTATGGCCTTTATTATGTCAAGGTACTTGCCCTCTATACCCATTTTGTTGAGAGTTTTTATCATGAATGGATGTTGAATTTGGTCGAATGTTTTCTCATCTATGGAGATGATCATGTGGTTTTTGTCCTTCTTTTTGTTGATGTAGTGAATGATGTTGATGGATTTTCTAATATTGCACCATCCTTGCATCCCTGGAATAAATCCTACTTGATCATGATTTTGATGTATTTTTGAATTTAGTTTACTAATATTTTGTTGAGTATTTTTGCATCTATGTTCATCAGGGATATTGGTCTGTAATTTTCTTTTTCTGTGGTGTCTTTGCCTGATTTTGGAATTAGAGTGATGTTGGCCTCATAGAGTGAGTTTGGAAGTATTCCCTCCTCTTCTACTTTTTGGAAAACTTTAAGGTGGATGGGTATTAGGTCTTCACTAAATGTCTTATAAAATTCAGCAGTGAAGCCATCTGGTCCAGGAATTTTGTTCTTAGGTAATTTTTTCATTACCAATTCAATTTCATTGCTGGTAATTCGTCTGTTCAGATTTTCTGTTTCTTCCTGGGTCAGCCTTGAAAGGTTGTATTTTTCTGGAAAGTTGTCCATTTCTTCTAGGTTATCCAGTTTGTTAGCATACAGATTTTCATAGTATTCTCTAATACTTTGTATTTCTGTGGTGGCCGTAGTGATTTTTCTGTTCTCATTTCTGATGCTGTTTATGTGAGTAGACTCTTTTTTTCTTAATAAGTCTGGCTAGGGGTTTATCTATTTTTATTTTCTCAAAGAACCAGCTTTTGCTTTCATTGATTCTATTGTTTATTCTTCTTGATTTTATTTATTGATGCTCTAATCTTTATTATGTCCCTCCTTCTACTGACTTTGGGCCTCATTTTTTGTTCTTTTTCTAGTTTTGTTAATTGTGAGTTTAGACTGTTTGTAAGGGATTGTTCTTCTTTCCTGAGGTAGGCCTGTATTGCAATATACTTCCTTCTTAGCATGGCCTTTGCTGTGTCTGATGGATTTTGTGGTGTTGAATTCTTGTTGTCATTTGTCTCCATATATTGCTTGATTTCTGTTTTTATTTTGTCATTGATCCATTGGTTATTTAGGAGCATGTTCTTAAGCCTCCATGTGTTTGTGGGCTTTGTAGTTTTCTTTGCATAATTTATTTCTAGTTTCATACCTTTGTGGTCTGAGAATCTGTTTGGTACAATTTCAGTCTTTTTGAATTTACTGAGGCTCTTTTTGTGGCCTAGTGTATGATCTATTCTTGAAAATGTTCCATGTGCACTTGAAAAGAATGTGTATTCTGTTGCTTTTGGATGGAGTGTTCTCCAGATGTGTGTTAGGTCTATCTGTTCTTATGTGCTGTTCAGTGCTTCTGTGTCCTTATTTTCTGTCTGGTTGATCTGTCCTTTGGAGTGAGTGGTGTGTTGATGTCTCCTAAACTGAATATTTCTCCCTTTAATTGTCTTAGTATTTGTTGCACATATGTAGGTGCTCCTATGTTTGGGTGCATAGATATTTATAATGGTTATATCTTATTCTTGGACTGGCACCTTTATTAGTATATAATGTCCTTCTTTGTTTCTTGTTACTTTCTTTGTTTTGAAGTCTGTTTTATCTGATAAAAGTATTGGAACTCCTGCTTTTTTCTCCTGATTAGTTGCATGAAATATCTTTTTCCATCCCTTCACTTTTAGTCTGTGTATGTCTTTGGGTTTGAGGTGAGTCTCTTGTAGGCACCATATAGATGGGTCTTGTTTTTTTGTCCGTTCTGTTACTCTTTGTCTTTTGATTGGTGCATTCAGTCTGTTTACATTTAGGGTGATTAATAATAGATATTTACTTATTGCCATTGCAGGTTTTGGATTTGTGGTTATCAAACATTCAAGGGCAACTTCTTTACCATCTTAACAGTCTAACTTAACTTGCTTATTTATGCTATCATAAACACAATGTGAAGAATCTTTTTTTCCCCTTCGTTTCTTCCTCCTCTACTCTTTATATGTTAGGTGTCATATTCTGTACTCTGAGTGTGTCTCTCAACTGACTTTGTGGGTAGCTGATTTAATTTTGCATTTGGTTAGTAATTAATTGGTCTGCATTTTTTACTGTGGTTTTATTTTCTCTGGTGACAGCTATTTAGCCTTTGGTGCACTTCCATTTAGAGCTGTTCCTTTATAATACACTGTAAAGATGATTTGTTGGAGGCACATTCCCTCAACTTTTGCTTATGTGTTAATTGTTTAATCCCTCCTTCAAATTTAAATGATAATCTTGGTGGTTAGAGTATTCTTGGTTCATTGCGATGAATACATCATGCCACTCCCTTCTGACTGGTAAGGTTTCTGCTGAGAAGTCTGATGATAGCCTGATGGGTTTTCCTTTCTATGTGATCTTTTTTCTCTCTCTGGCTGCCTTTAATAGTCTGTCCTTATCCTTGATATTTGCCATTTTAATTATTATATGTCTTGGTATTGTCTTCCTTAGGTCCCTTGTGTTGGGAGATCTGTGCACTTCCATGGCCTGAGAGACTATTTCCTTCCCCAGATTGGGAAAGTTTTCAGCAATTATTTCTTCAAAGACACTTTCTATCCCTTTTTCTCTCTTCTTGATCTTCTGTTACACCTGTAATGCAAAAATTGTTCCATTTGGATTGGTCGCACAGTTCTTTTAATAAATATTCTTTCATTCCTAGTGATCCTTTTTTCTCTCTGTGCATCACTTTCTTTGTATTCCTGTCCTCTAATTTCTGTTCTGTTTACCATCTCCTCTACCTCATCTAATTTGCTTTTAAATCCCTCCATTGTACATTTCATTTTAGCTACTATATTTTTTAAGGAGTCTGTCTCCTTCTTTAACTCATCCCTTAGCTCTTGAATATTTTTCTGTAGCCCCATTAGCATACTTATGACTTTTATTTTGAATTATTTTTCAGGAATATTGGTGATTTCAGTTTCACTGAGCCCTCTCTTTGGTGTTTGAGGGATTTTGATTTGAACATGGTTTTTCTGCCTTTTCATAATCCTACTGGATAGTGAGAGATATTAGATTTGTGTAGGCAGCGCCCTCTAGTGCCCAGAAACTCTGCTCTTCCAAGCTGCCCAGCTCCTGGAGTGATGGTGGTACCAGTGCCTACCTTAAAGAGAGAGCTCTTTCCTGCTTCCTGGCTGCAGTGCCTGCCTCCACTGTCAGGGACAGTGAGCCAGGCATAGGGAGTAGCCTCTCCATTAAGCCTATGTAGTTGTCGTAGGTGGGGCTGCTGTCCTGCTAGCCTGAAGCGATGGCAGTGTCAGCAGATTGGCACACAGGTTCCAGTTAGGAGAAAGAAGCGGCAGGCTGCTTATACAGAGGGGGCCTCGGGGCTGTGTTGCCAGCCAGAGGGATGAAGCGCCTGAAGCTCCTGAAAGTTCCCAACCTGCTGGGCTGAGTGTGCTTGGATAATTTTCTCCACCTGTTCCTTCTCCTGAGCAGCAAGCTCTGTGTAATCCTTGCCCCTTTAGCAGCCCTCTCACTGTTGGGAAGTCTTTCAAAGCACCTGTCTTTCTTTTGTCCTAGAGCAGCCGGTTGTGAGAACCTGTTCTCCACAAGCACCTGGAATCTCAGTCTGTGACTTTGCTTTTCAACCCCTCTATCTCCAGAGCACATGCAGTGTGGGTTTGTGCTCCTGGAGTAGATTTCTAGAGCTGGGTATTTAGCAGTCCTGGACTTCTACTCCCTCCTTGTCCTGTTTCTCTTCCTTCCACTGGTGAGCTGAGGTTGGGAGAGTGCTTGGGTCCTGATGGGTTGTGGTTTTGTTACTTTACCCTTTTCCATGGGCTGTTTTCTTTTTCCAGATATAGACTGGCCTGTGCAGTCTCACTTCTGGTCACTCTTGTAGGAATAGTTTTATCTTCTCTATTTTCATATTATATGTGGTTTTGGGAGGAGATTTCTGTCTCATTTCTCATGCCACCATCTTTTTTTGCATCCCCCTTGTTAATGGCATTGTCTTACACTCCTGCTCTCAGTTCATGACTTGGTATTTAAGACTTTCAACATTTTTTTATTTCATCGCTCTTCAGTTACCCACATGGACTAAGTGTTATATCCATATTGGGATACTGTTAATTTTGCCGACAGGACATTCTGTGTCTTTATGATTTTGCTTAGGCATACCATCTTCCTGGAGTGGTTTGCTTTTTCTTAATCCTTTGTATTCAAATGTGCATTAACAAAATTTGATTTTCAGGTGGAAATATGCAATTGATTCTGTTCTTGAAGTTCACATAAGAAGGTACACACAGATGTGGTCGTGGAGTAACATAAAAAAACACAGGCAATTGCTTAAGAGTTATAAAAGTGCCTACAAAAACAAGCTAACCCAGACTAAAGTCCCAGAAGAAATACAGAAACAAATTCAGGTATATTTTGCTAATATTAATGAAAGCTATTATTTGTTAAAATCATCCTTTAATGTTAATTCTTGTAAATTTAATTTTAATTAAAATACAATTCTATAAAAAACATAACTCTTTGAGAGAATTTTAAGGAAAAGTGTCGAGTGTTTTTTCCATTATTTTCTTCTTTAAAAAATACCTTTGTTGTCTATCCTATTATCAGATTAAATGAAGTTACTGTGAACTATTTGGAGAAATGTGTTGATTTTATAATAATGTTTAGAAAGTCAGTATCAGGGCTATTCAAATATGTGTTTATTATTAACTGGATATGTATTATTCTATTAGTGGCTCTTTTTAAGTGTTCAAAGTATTATTTATTAAAAAATACAGCTTTTATTCCTCAAGATAGAAAGTCTTATTTACATCCTTTTGAAATAAAAACACACTGAATACATAATTTGCTTACTACAATCTGATCTTGATTATATAATTACTTCTGTCACCAGTTCATATGAAAAGAATTAATTGATTTCCTACTATTTTGAAATATGTGAGAATCACTAGTATTATATGTTAAAAAAAATCTCAAATTTCTCACCATCTCAGTTGTGGCATTTTAATATATAAAATGGGATCAGTGTCTTAGAGTTGTGAGACCTGCATGAAATAACATATAGAGCACCTGTATGTTATCATATCATACTTTTATGTAGAATGCCCAAATCAGTTTCTGCTTTAGCTTCCTTGTTCATTTGCAGAATATTACATTCTCACATTTTGTGTTTTGTAGTGATGCTTTTAGTACAATGGTTGTAAAATAATGTAGAACAAAGAGAGTCAGAAATAACAATCATAATCCCCTTCCCAGATATTGTTCCATTTGCATATATGGTTATCTGTGTATTATAATGGTCTCTCAAATTCTTATTTTCATATTGTATTTAATGAGGATTTACTTTCTTAGAAAACTTATTTCTCATATTGTAAAAATTTAAAAGCAAAGTGTACATTCAGATTTATACTTTTATTAGATTATAACTACTGTTTGTTCATGGGCTAGATTGAGCTAGAATTCAAAGAAAAAAATGTTATCTAATGCCATTCCTGTTTTACAAATGTCTCTTTGTTTATAGGATTTGGAGAAGACTTTGGATGTTTTTAACATAATTTTAGCAAGGCAACAAGCCCAAGTAGAGGTAACCATCTTTATTAGCTGATTTTATATTAAATATACTAAAACTACATTAAATCTAGGATCAAGAAATCTTGTTTCATGGGAAGTTGCTTAGATTTACTCTAGTGAGAATAATAGTTGAGTTTTCATAGTTTAATTTAGTCTCAGGGGGAAAAAGAATTGAAATATTGGGGAAAAATTGCACTATGATAAAAGAAAATTTTTTAAAATTTTATGGCAAAAAATTTGAAAATCCCCCAAAAGAAAGTAAATAAAAGTAATCCATAATCCTAGGAACATAGAATGTTAGCATTTCAACATATAGTCTTCTAGTTTTTCTCCCATGCATATGTACCTACTGATTTATGCTTTTTAGCCACCATTTCTTTTGCTTTCTCTTTGCTTTGTTCTCACTTCCCTCTGTTCCTTCCTTCTTCCCTTTTTCATCTTTTACCTCCCTCCCTCCTCCTTTCCTCTTCGTTTCTTTTTTTCCAAAATTGGAATCAGTATGATTACAATGTTTTATTATTGCTTATTTATCCTACTTAGTACCTTGACTGTAATGTTCCGTGTCATTTCTTTTATTCTGAAACATAATTTTTTTGGTCATTAAAAAAGTAAATTACAAGTGCAGTACAACTCATTATAAAAAAGTTATGAAATACATTTCCACACACCACACAAAAAACATCCATAATCTCACACATTAAAGATAACTATTGTTAATTCCTGTCTGTATATTCTTTTAGTCTTTTATATTCATGGATCTCCATACATATATTCATGTTTTTAAATGGGTTTAAAACATATGCACTTGTTATTAATTCAAATACTCATTGAATGCCTATTTTAATAGCATTATGGTTGAGTGTAGATTCAGCAGTCAGGTGTTCTGGATTCTGATGCCAGCTTCGAGTACTTGTGTGACCTTGGACTGGCTGTTTAACCTCTAACCTCTCTGTGCCTTAGTTTCCTTATCTGTAAAACAGGATTAACTCATAGTACCTACATCAAGGGTTATTGTGAGGAATGCATGATAATCCATGTAAAGCACTTAAGACTGTTATGTACATAGCACTTAATAACTACTAAATAAGTGATTTTTTTTCCCATCATCGTTATCATTTACATTATCATACAAAAGTGAACAAAAATCCCTTACATCTAGGAGGAAGAAGGATAATAAATGCAAATACAAATACAAATACAGTAAAAAGGAATATAGAGAGTTTTGGGCTAGGTAGTGATGGTGATGGGGGTTGCAATTTTTAATAAGCTGGTTGGGAAAGCTTCACTAAGAAGGAAGTATTTGAGCAAAGACCTGAAGAAGGTGAGGGAGTCAACCAGAAAAATAGTAGAGGGACAAGTGTACCAGGCAGAAAGAGTAGAGCAAGCTGAATGGTTTTGAGATGGGCTTATTTGACTCTTCAGGGAACTAAGTAGAGTGGTGAGAGAAAGGAGAGTGGGGGTTAATCTCATCAGTGGTTATGTCTGACATAATACTAAAAGCAGGGATTAGACATTGGTACATCGTGTGTGTGTGTCATTTTATGTCAGCTGTCATTTTTTTAAAAGGTAATTATCAACCTGTAGACAATTTTTTTTTTTTTTAGTATTTATTTCCTTCATAACTTCTGTCACTGTAGAAAATTAGTATTTTTGTGTGCTTTTTAATAATTCATTTCAGCCTTTTTATTTTCTTAGTTTTTTGGTTTATTTCAAAATTTCTTAAAATTTATGATGTGGCTTTATCTCCTTTTTAAAGTTTTTTTTAGAGATTTGGGAGGGGGAACTTGAATGTTGTAGTTGGTTCCTACATTATCTTAATGTTACTTAACATACTATTTTTTAAATTCCTTAATGATTTTTTTCAAAATAAATGTATTTTTCATTAAAGTTTATAAATATGATCATAAAGTTTTTATGGGGAATAAAAAAAGATGGTAACAATTAAAAAAATTTAGTGCCTGCCCTTTTTAAACTATCAGTTTAGCTGAAAAGCTTTTAATGAAATGTTCAAATATTGTATAGCTGCTCCTGTATTTAGATTATAAAGAACTGTTCATAAATCCATTTATTTATTAAGTCTAATATCTAAGAGAGGGTTGATATTACAGTCTCTGGTTGCATTTTCCCTAAAGGAATTGTAGTAGATTGTAGAGCTTTGTGAGCCCGGATGATTCATATTTAATTGGGTGTCTTTTCCAAAAGAGCTCAGTTTCATTTGCTTGTGAAACTGTTGTGACAGTAAAATTCCCTGCTCGATGATCTCTGCTGTTTTGAGGAAACTCTGGTACAGTCATCTCAGCTGTAGTTGTTCTGCACATAAGAAGCACTAGTGAATTAAAAAAAATACTGATGTCTAGAGTCCACTTCCTCAAGATTTGATTTAATTGGTGTATGGTGGGATTTGGGGGTTGTTTTTTTCCTTTTGTTAGTGCGGCACATATTGAATACCACTTAACTATACCACTTAACTATGGTTTCTATAGTAGTTGATTTGTCATTCACTTTCAGTTTGCAGATTCAAATAGGGCCTGAAAGTATGTACTCATCTATGGCTTGTGACAGAAAGTTTACATTTTCTCCATGCTTAGTCTTTAAGTTCACCAACACGACTAGGCTCCTCCTGAATTGCCAGTAGTGTTCATAATGCTCTTTCATCACTATTTTTTTTTTTATTTAGACACCTTTGCATAGGTTGGGTGATTTCTCTGTCCTGAAGGTACCTATCTGTTGTTGAACTATGTAGCCTGTATCCAAATGCTACATTTGACTTTTTTGGGAACAACTTTCAAGTTTTTATAATTTTATATTTTGTTTCTTATTTTGATCGCTTCTTCTCATTAACATTTTAACCTTTACAGCTTCTGTAATTATAGAACACAGATGGAGTTGGTTCCATTTAAAAAAATGGAAACTAAAGACAAACACAGGAAACACTGGGATTAATAATACTGTGCCTACATCTGAAATGAACACAAAATATTGGTAGCTAAGAATTGATATGCTTCTGCTGAGGCTTTATATTCATGAAAATTTTAAACTAGAAAATTTAGTGATAAGAAAGAAAATTAGTAACATTTTTCTTGAAGTGTTTGCTGGTACTGTCAATTCTGAGGAAAGTACTAGTATTTTCAATTTATATTAGGAAATTGAGGCATAAAAGAGGTTAAATAGTCTAAGTTCTGCTTATCATGAAGAGTAAAAAGGCACACTAATCTTCTGTCAAGAGAATGAAGAAGTTAAGTGTTATTTCACATAAAATATAAAGTAATGAGATATGTATTTTTTTTTTTACCCTTTAACTTTATGACTGCTTAAAATAGATTGGTAAGCTTGACAGAAGATAGGACTGAACTATAACTTTGACCTTTGATAGTTTGTGGGTAGATGTAGACCTATTCCTTTAGTATTTATTTAAATTCTAATTGTTAGAGTTTATTTAACTTAGTTTAAACTGAATTATCACTAATCACACCTCTTCTCTTTACTATAGAATTCAACTATTTTCTTTTAATTTCTCTTTTGGATTATTTCACTTTCTGTTACACAGGGTGGCTTGCAATATGTTGCTGATTCACTACCAGTTTAAAATATTTTAAATTTTAAATGGGGAAATTAAGAAAGTTTACTTACTTTGGTAAGTAAATTTACATAATTTGGTAATTTGTTTCCAGTCAGACCTTACCAGCTCTATGAATGAGAAGATAGAGTCAAATTACTTGTCTCCTTTATTTTCTCTATTTTTCTGTTCTTTGGTTTGATATTCATCTGTGTTTCACTGAAAAGTGGGCAGAAACAAGGAGCAGCATAAAATCAACCCAGAATTTATTTAAAAAAGAGGATGAAATGAAATACAAGGACTCTTAGTTTTTACTTATATTCTACCCTCATCTCCTCACCGTGTCCATAGTTAGCAAGCTGGCAATGTATATGAATTCTGAAATATGATCGTTTTAAAGTAATACTTTCTTGAGTGTGGAAGCATCTTCCTTTCAGGGAACTTTTAATTTTATTAGTCTGCAGTCCCAGTGGCTACTTAACTTAAAAATTTGGAAGACATACTGGTTCAAAAAATTTTCACATTGAAACCTTTACTACATTCCTGACAAAGTACAGATTCAGCAAATTCAATCAGTAGGTATGGAAAGTAAATTAACGTAACAGTGGGACTACATTAACTAAATCATATCGAGCATCATTTCAGAAGGAACTGGTTTTCCTGATGTTTTTAACCTAATGTAGTGTTAAAAAAAAGTTAACCGTTGCTCTTATCTGGCTATACTTGAAAATGAAGAGAACATTTATTCTTTAATTAAATTTTTAAATCTTCATTTTTCTAGGTTATTCGGTCTGGGCAAAAATTAAGGAAAAAGTCTACTGACACAGGCGAGAAACGAGGCTGGTTTAGCGGGTTTTGGGGTAAGAAGGAATCTAAGAAAAAAGATGAAGAATCTTTGATTCCTGAAAGTAAGTTCCAAGTCATATAATTTATTGAACACTGATAAGAAATACTTATAAATGATATTTTAGCCAGTTTGTTGAATTTTATTTCAGAATGCTTCTGAAATAAAAGTACCTCAGTGTAGTAAATAAGTAAATGTATCAAGCTGGAACATTTCTGTTCATTTTTGAGAAAAATTATTTATGTGAAATTTAATCAAGTTTCAATTCAGAAGTCTCAGCATTTTAGCATTCCTTATTATTACTTTTTATGTGGATATTTAGAAGTTTCATTTAATTTTTAAAATACTTAGGTAATTCTAAAATCCTTGTATGAAATCTGAATTACCTTAATGGTGTCTCTGCCTTTTCTTCACATAAGCAAGCAAATAAATGTTTGTTTTAACTAGTCAAAGTAGTATATTAGAAGAAATTACCTGGGTGTTTTTGCCGTCTCATTTCTATTAGTTTTAGCACACTTATTAGTTTGGTTTAATTTTTTTTATTGTATCTGTAAAAGTGATGCAATGGATTTCTTAAAATACTGTCCTTTATTTGTAGCTATTGATGATTTTATGACTCCAGAGGAAAAAGATAAGCTCTTCACTGCTATTGGTTATAGTGAAAGCACCTACAACTTAACTTTACCCAAGCAGGTAATTACTTGGGTGGTCTAAGAGATATTTTATTTCATTTTACTTCTATTATCTTGAATTGGGTTAAATAAGTTACTGATTTTTAAAGTAACTGATGAAAATATGTTATCACATGTATTTCTGCTTTACTATTTGTTCAATGTTTCCAGTCAGACCTTACCAGCTAAAACTCTCTCTCCAACTTCAGAGTTAATAGTTAGAGTGAATGGAAGACTAACCTGATAAAAAGCATGTATTATAGAATTAAAGTGTATCTTTAAAATAAATTTTTTTAAATTGTGAATTGTAACTCATATATAAGAGAGAAAGCAAAACCAAAATTGTTCATTTGGTTTATCACAAAATGAACAGCCATGTTTTTTTGAGAGAGTGTGAAAGTAGTAGAGTAAATTCTTTAAATGTTTGGTGGAATCTGGTTCTGGGATTTTCTTTGTTGGGAGGTTTTTTTTTTTTTTAAATTAAGGTATCATTGATATGCACATTTATGAAGGTTTCACATGAGCAACACTGTGGTTTCAACATTCACCCATATTATCAACTCCCCCCCCAACCTCATTGCAATCACTGTCCGTCAGTGTAGTAAGATGTTATAGAGTCATTTTATCTGTCTTCTCCGTGCTATATTGCCTTCCCGTGACCTACTTATATTGAGATTGCTAATTATAAACGCCCCTTAATCCCCTTCTTCCTCCCTCACCACCCACACTCCCGGACCCCTTCCCTTTGGTAACTGTTAGTCCCTTATTGGAGTCTGTGAGTCCGCTGCTGTTCAGTTCCTTCAGTTTTGCTTTGTTATACTCCACAAATGAGTGATATTATTTGGTACTTGTCTTTCTCCACCTGGCTTATTCCACTGAGCATAATACCCTTTTGTTGGGAGGTTTTTGATTGCTGATTCCATCTCCTTGCTCATTATTGGTCTATTCAGGTTTTCTGTTTCTTCATGATTCAGTTTTGGTAGGTTATACATTTCTAGAAGTTTGTCTTTTTTTCTAGGTTACCCAGTATGTTGGTATATAGTTGTTCTGGGTAGTGTCTTATTCTTTGTATTTCTGTGGTATTAGTTGTTAATGTCTCTCCTGTCATTTATACTTCTATTTAGATGCATTGTCTTTTTTTCTTCTTTTTGGTTAGCCTAGCCAAAGGTTTGTTAATTTCATCATTTTAAAGAACCATCTCCTGGTTTTGTCAATCTTTTTTTCTCTATTTCATTTCTTTTTTTTTTATTGAAGTATGATTGATATGTAGTCTGTAGTCTTATTGGTTTCAGGTATACAACACAAGTGTTTCAACAATTACCTATATTCAGTTGCATTTATTTCTGCTCTAATATTTGTTATTTCCTTCCTTCTTATAACTTTGGGCTTTGTTCTTTTTCTAGTTCCTTGAGATGTAAAGTTAGATTATTTTTGAGATTTTTGAGATTTGAGATTTCTTTCTTCTTGATGTATCCATTTATTACTATTAATTCCTTTCTCAGAATTGACTTTCTGAATCCTATGAGTTTTGGTGTGTAGTGTTTCCATTTTCCTTTGTCTCATTTTTTTCCCCTTTTAATTTATTCTTTGATCCATCAGTTATAAAGGAGTGTGTTAATTTCCATGTAGTTGTGGATTTTATAACTTTCTTCTGCTAAAATATCTAGTTTCATTCCATTCTGGTTGGAAAAGATGATTTGTATCTTCTTGAATTTTTAAAAACTTGTTTCCTGGCCCAGTATATGATCTATCAGAAAATGCCCCATGTGGGATTGAAAGGTGTTTGTTCTGCTGTTGGGTGGAATGTTTTGTGTATGTATCTGTTAAGTTCCTTTGGCCTGTATCATCATTCAGATACATTGTTTCGTTACTGATTCTCCCTCTGGATGATCTATGGTTGAAAGGGAGCTATTGAAGTCCCCAACTAATATCCTATTGCTATTTATTTTTCTTTTTAGTTCTGTTAGTATTTGCTTTATATATTTAGGTGTTCCAAAGTTGGGTACATAAAGATTTACAATTGTTACATGTTCTTGATGGATTGATACTTTTAACATCATATAATGACCTTCTTTGTCCCTTTTGACCATTTTTAACTTAGTCTTTTTATTCTGATATGACTACTCTTATTTTTTGGTTGCTGTTTGCTTGAAATACATTTTTCTATTCCTTAGTTCTCAGTCTATGTGTGTCCTTAAAGCTAAAGTGATCTCTGTGGGCAACATACCATTCAATCTTTTTTAAAAAATTCATTTTGTCATTCTGTGTCTTTTGATAGGAGAATTTAATGCGTTTACATTTAAAGTAGTTATTTATAGGTAAGGACTTACTATTGCCATTTTGCTAATTATTTTCTGTTTTGTGGATCCTTTGTTCTTTGCTGCCTCTCTTCCTGTGTAGTTTGATGAGAATCTTCTCCCTTGTTCTCTGTCCTACCTCCAGTCTTGACCTATCCATTTTTTGGCTAGGTATTTTTTCTCAGTATCTTGTTAACTCTCCAAAGCCTTGTTAATTTTATGTTTTGCCCAGTTTTTGAGCCAGAGGATTGGTCTGAATTTGTTTGCTTTAGTGAAAGTTGCTGAATTGAATCTTTATTCCATAAAACACTTCATCAAGTTTTATTTTACTGCCTCTAAAATTAAGGGATCTTTTGTAAATGTCCTGTTTGAGCAATCAATTTTGTATTGAATTTTCTAATGTTCTTTTTTACAGTGAACATATTGATGCCAAAACCTATAATATTGTTTTTTAGATCACTGTGTAATTCAACAAATTGAAATCAGAAGAACTTAATAAAGAAAGTAATACTTAAATGTCAACAATTTTTTTTGTTTGTTTAGTATGTGGCCCATATAATTACGCTGAAGTTAGTAAGCACCTCTGTTATGATAAGAGAAAAGAAAAATATTCCAGAAATACTAAAAATTCAGATAATTGGCCTGGGCACTCAAATATCTCAGCGACCAGGAGCACAAGCACTTAAGTAAGTTTTCAAAAACTTATAATTTCTATTTTTATTTCTAGGTATAACTTCAGGCCAAAAAAAAAGTGATTTAGCATTAAAAAACTGATTAATTTCTTCTCTTCTCTAATTTCTTTTCTATTTATGTGTCAAGGTAGTCTTTTTATATTTGAATTTGTTTTGGTATGGAGTTAAAGGAGGAGCTCATCATTTATTCTACCCTCCTTTCTTTCCTTCACAAATGTTTATTGGATACTGTTGAATTTATAAATTCGAAGCTGTGAAGGTTATGCATAGGAAACAATTTCTGTTTTCAAGAAGTTTATAGTGTAGTTGATGAGGGATACACAAAAAGTTAATGATTTAGGAACTGTATAGCATTTTTGGCTGCTCATAGGTGAGAAAGTTCTGTAAAATTAAATACTTACAGTTTTTAATTAAATACTTATAGTATGTTACACAAGTCAGCTACTTGGCTTAGGAGAATTGGGGCTAAGGCCAGCTTAAGGGAAAGGACTAGGAGAAGCAGAGATTAGGGTGTCTGGGTGGCATGAAGTAGGGAGATGAGTTGCATGAGTTAAGTATAGCTGTTATTCATATAGCAATGAGCAGAACTTATGCAGTGTTTGAGAGTTGGCCAAAGTGAGTTTTTCTCATGGGTGAGTAGGAATTAAGAACAAGTAAAACAAAACAAAAAGCCCTCCAGATTGTACCTCCCCATAACTGAATGCCAGGCTAATGAGTTTGGACTTCACCTCTCGGTAATGGGCTCTCAAAGGAGAGTTTTAAAAGAAAAATTTGTATTTTAACCCATCATATTGCAAAGGATTTTATTTGTATTACTACTTTTTTCCTCACTGGAATGTAGGGTAGAAGCAAAATTAGAACACTGGTATGTAACAGGTCTGAGACAACAGGATATTGTACCATCACTTGTGGCTTCAATTGGCGATACTACATCATCTTTGCTTGAAATTGAATTTGAAACGAATCCAGAGAATAGTACTGCTGACCAGGCTCTGGTTGTTCAGTCCCAGCCTGTGGAGGTCATCTATGATGCTGTAAGTGCAAGGAGAAAGTGAATCTTTATCAAAGTCATCTTATACACTTCTAACATGGCCTTTTTACTTTTCCTCTTTTATTTATCTGCTTAGCAGCTAAACTTACTAAAGCTTTATTCTTGTTTTAAAAGCAGTAGATGTTTAGCAGTTAATTTGGGTTTCATGTGCTACCATTTTCTGCTACTGTATTTATCTATGCTTATGTTAAAATTTTAGAAACCTAATATACTATTTAAAAAGTATATTTATTGTATCAACTACTCCCAAATAGTTATATACTGACCTCCTACTCCAGTTCATTGTTGCTGTTTTTCTCTTTCTGCTTGATGTTTGGAACCAATTAAAAGAGCATTAGGAGTAATTAAAGAATTTTAAATGCTGTTCACATGAGAACAAACTGCATTGGCATTTAGATATTGTTGAAAATGCTGGCTCAAATTCTGTGTCTATGGCTCCATCTTTTTTTCAGACTCTCTTAACTAATTTCAAGGTAGCTAGCAGGCTATGTGTGGTTCACTACTCATTGTATTGCTTGTAGGTTGACCCAACCCTTTGTTGAGATCCCTGGCTTATTTTTACTTTTCAGTTTAGAAGTGGATTCATGGTATGGGTGGGAAGCATTATATAAAGACTCCAGAACTCATTGTTTCTCTCATTTAAAACAAAAATTAAATCATAGTAAAATGCATATAACAATTTACCATCTTAACCATTTTTAAGTGTGTTGTTCAGTAGTGTTAAGTACATTCACACTTGTGCATCCAATCTCCAGAACTCATTCTATCTTGCAAAATGTCTGATTTTTTTACATTCAAGTTTTAGCTGTTGGTAAGGGCCGAATAGCTTTCCTTTTTCCTCTCCAAACTTCAGAGTGCAGGGGAATCCAGTTGTAGCATAGCAAAGTGGAGATTCATCATTTGGCTAATTGGAGGCCAGAAGTAGAAGTAACCTCTGTCACTACATCCGCATGACACCAGAGAACATACTGAAGGTCACTTTAATGATATGTGCACATCTGTTGCCTCTCCAGTAAGCTTGCTTGAGCTATTACTTTTTTCAGGTCTCATTCCCTCCAGAGAGAGAGATCCAGTAAGGCAGAATATCTTAGGAGGTACCTCCTCAGTTCAAAGCCACAACTGTTTAGAATTTAGCTGAAATGTTAAAATTTATGAATTTATGTGAAGTACTGTGTATAACTTGATTATATTTTAAATTATAGAAAACCATCATTGCAGTGGTTGAATTCTTTCAATCAAATAAGGGATTAGATCTTGAGCAAATAACGTCAGCTACATTGATGAAACTGGAAGAAATTAAAGAGAGAACAGCTACAGGTGAAGAATTTGACTGTATAAGCACCAACTAATCAGAATTATGTCTATTGTAATGTAAATATTATATTTTTAAAAGTATATGTTGCTGTATTCCTTTGTTGTAAACTCGCTATGTTATACAGTGAGGTTGCATTTTTACTTGAAGTTAAAGTACAAGAATTACCTGAAGTAAAATATACCTGCTCGACTGAGTGAGAAAAAGAATAATATGAGGCACAGATGATTCTGTCTGCTATTTCCTTTGAAATCCTGTCTCTCAGATAGAGTTTGAGATGGAAACCATCCCCTCCATCTCAGTTCTTAGGAAACTGTTCACCATACCGTGTGTGAATCTGTTTTTAAAGATACACATGGCCTCTAAGCTCAAGCCAACTACTTTATCTCTTTGCTAACTAAAGAAATAAAAAATTATTCTGTCTCTGGATAAAATACTATATGTTGGGTTTACTGTACTGTGCAATGATATGATTGTTTCCCATTGGCCACTTGTAGTTCACTGTACTAATTGAGAATCTAGTCTGTGAGCAGAACCAACACTCTTTCTCAGGGTAGATTCTTCCTCTTGTTAATAGTACGATTACTTATTTCAATTTGACCATCTAATCTGTCATTATTTCTTCTTCTAGGACTTACACATATTATTGAAACTCGAAAAGTTCTTGATTTAAGGATAAATCTGAAGCCTTCTTATCTAATAGTTCCACAGACAGGTTTTCATCATAAAAAGTCAGATCTTCTCATTTTAGATTTTGGTACTCTTCAGGTAGGTATATATGTATCTCTTTCTGCCCATTTTTGCCCAGGGGTTGGTAGCTAGCAATCTGGTAGCTTACTGTTTTTCCCTTAGAGCTTACTTAAACTAAACCTAGACTTATTTATTCTTAGCAATTTGTCAAGCCTAGCTTAGACTGAATATTTGTATAGCCATGAATATGTTATGGCTATTTAAAAAACAAGCCCTAAAATTTTCTGCAATGGTAGGTGATTTAACATTGAGGATGGGATTATTCCTGTGTTTTCCTAATTGGATAGAAGCACGCCTAGTTTTCTGCACTCCTAGATTTCTAGAGTTCAGTTACACAGTGTTATTTGTTAATTTATATATTTTAACAATAGGAAATAATGCACATATGAAAATGTTTGTTAAGTCACCATCAGCAACTAATGAGAGTAAGAGAACTCTTAAAGTATTGGGTATTGAACCTCTTAGAAATGCAAGCCTCTGAGAAAAAGTGAATATTTAAAAAAATACAGCCTCTTCTGAGTTTGATCCTTACTCCCTGTGGGGAGAGGGAAAAGGAAGAAGAGATAGGATGTGAATTCTGGTGGCCTACTATTCTGGTGATGTAGTGAGGAGAAAAAGGAACAAATCCTGCTATTTCATGGTGAAGAGTTTCGAATCAGTAACAGAGTTGCTGAGCCATAGTGAGGATAACTCTTGAGAGCCCAAAAGAGCTGTTTATTTGAAGTAGAAGGCTGTGTAACCCATCTCCTAACTAACGCGAATGTGCTGAGCACGTATGACCCAATCATGTTAGAGATGTATGCTGAAATGTGATATTCCTAATATTTGCAAATAATTATCAGGAAATTAAGCAAAATGTGGATTCATTAAGGGCAGTGTTTTCATTTTAGTCAGGTTTTAAGAAAACACGTAAGTGTATTTATCTCTATACTTTTCTGCTTAAAAAAACTGATGTTTGTCCATTTCAGCTTAACAGTAAAGATCAAGGTTTGCAGAAGACTACGAATTCATCTCTGGAAGAAATAATGGATAAGGCATATGACAAGTTTGATGTTGATATAAAAAATGTACAGTTACTCTTTGCAAGGGCAGGTAAACTTACTGAATCTTTAGGATATTGAAATTATGTTGAATAGCTTTGGTAAATATGCATTTATATGTGCATGTATATCAACCCTGACAAGATTTTGAACACATACCTGTTGGCCTGTTGAAAACCAAAGAGTAAAGATCAAGGTCAGTGCAAATCACTACCACAGGTACAACTAAAGATGAAAATGTGGGTACTTGGCACCATTTGAATCTAAGTCCAGTCCTTGCCTTTTTTTTTTTTTTTATAATGTGACCGCAAAACTGCCAAGAACACAAAATAGAAGTTACAGTTGGTTCCTCTGCCCCCAATGCTTTGGGGATATCTCAGTGTTTTCCCTTGCTGCCTTTATTTTTAAATAGTTTTACTATATTAGTCTAGTCTTTTTTTCAGTAGTATTACATCTACTTTTGTAGATAATCTGAGAAGTAAGCATATTGTCTCAAAACACTAAAGGTAATTAACTTAATTATTCTCTAAATGGTTTGGTGTTTTCTGCTGCCTGAGTAACTACTGCTGGTTCTCTATACTCTTTTAGTTTCTAGAAGCAAGAAATATTGGCTAAATATTCTTGAATACATCACCTTGTGGTAGGTCATTAGAAGAAAGGACATAATCTCTGTGCAGTGTATACTCTAGTAGGAGTGATGAGGTTTATTAAAATGTAAATAAATAATGCTGTACTTAGTTTTTATATATTGGGAGGCTTCTCATCCTTGAACAGAGCATTAAAAGTTAGTCATTGGAAAAATCTGTCTTGAGATCTCTTTATTTGGAGAAAAGTGATTTTACCCCTTTTTGTCATAAAATCTTGATTGATAAAACTCACTTTTGCTTTAGAATTATGTGCTAAACTAGTGTAATTGCACTTAGGAACCCCAGAAATGTCTTTTTTCCTTGTCAATTTTTTTTTCATTTTTTCATTGCACCATCCCCTTGATCACTAATTCTGGAGTAAAGACAATAAATTCTTGGATTTTTCCTGTTTGCCTTAAAATGCAAGATGTTATGTAGACATTCTCCAAATAAATATTTACAATTATGTTGTATATAACAGCCTTTAACTCCTGTCAATCTTATTTAAAACATATAGGTCATTTAACTTGTATGCTGAAGAAGTAAAAATTGGTATTTATTGAATATGTTTGTTTATTATTTTAATAAGTTACAGTTTTCCACAGAACATCTGATAATGTAAAAGTAAGTAATAAATAAAAACTAGTCACCTAATTTAAAAAATTTTTTACAGCGGAAAACTGGAAAAAGCATCGATTTCAGCATCCATCAGCTATGCATATATTACAACCCATGGATATTCATGTTGAGTTGGCCAAGGCAATGATAGAAAAAGATGTTAGAATGGCCAGGTAATGTATGAATTTCCTTAACATAAAATCAACAAGATGAAATATATATGCATCAGTTACTGGATTTTAAGAAGTGAAAGGCTAGATTTCTGCAGGACAAAAAAGTAATGATTATCTTATAGCAGAAAAATATTTTTAAGAAAATGTTGATTTGAATCATATATCACCTTTCTTATTGAGAAGTATTTGGACCTTTACATTCCGTAAAAGTTGATCTGTGTTTTTGAATGGATCAAATCCAGGTTTCTACATCAGTAAAATAAAATCTTCTAAAGTAGGTTAGGTGCTCCTTTGATTATGAAACCATATAAAATCTTGAGAATAATCTAAGGGAATGAAGAATAAAAACTTAATTATGAATTTAAGTAAATAATTATAAGATATTTATGCTGCTTTCTTAAAAATAGCCTTATTGAAAGTATTACTGAGTTTCAGTAAGCAGTATCTGTTTAAAGTGTATAATTTGATAAGTTTTGACATAGGTATGTATCTCTGCAGCCATCATACAGTCAGGATATTGAACACATCTTCATCCCCAAAAGTCCTTATGCCCTTTTGTATTCTCTCTCCCATTGCTACCTGCTAACCCCTCACCCCTTAATTCCCAGACAATATAGATCTTTTTTTGACACTATAGATTTGTTAGAATTTTCTAGAATTTTATATAAATTATAAATTCTCAGTAGTTATATAAAAGGCTCAGTTTCAACTCCTTTTTGTTTGACTTCTTTCATTCAGCATAATTTGAGATTCATCCATGTTGTTCGTATCAGTAGTCTTGATAGCCTTTATCAAATGGATATTAAACCAACCTTGTATTTCTAGGTAAACCTCATTTGGTAATGATGTATTCTTTTAAAATGTTCTTGGATTTGGTTTGCTAAAAGTTTGTTTTGAAGTTTTACATCTCTGGTTATGAGCAATATTGGGCTGTGCTTTATTTTCTTGTTTTGGTATCAGAGCATCAGGGCAGTGGTATCCTCATAGAATGAATTTTTTGGAAGTAGAATTAGTACTGTTTCTTCTTTATATGTTTCATAGAAGTCACCGCTGAAGCCATTTGGGACTAGAGTTTTCTTTTTATAGGGGAGGGTTTTTAACTACAAATTCAATTTCTGTAATAGATAAAGGGCTACTGAGATTATCTGTTTCTTTGTGTGATCTTTGGTTGTCCTTCAAGGAAGGGATTTGTCCATCTTAGTTGTTGAGTTTACTGTCATAACATTTTTAATACTATTTCTACATTACCTTTTTTAATACATGTTGAATTTGTAGTGGTGCCATTTCTCACCTCTGATTCTTAGTAGTTTGTGCCTCTTCTGTTTTTTTCTTCATAAATCTGACTAAAGTTTTATTAATTTTGTTGATTATCTTCTGAAAGAATCAGCTTTGGTTTCAATTATTTTCTCACTGTCCTTCTGTTTTTGTATTTCACTGATTCTACTCCATTTTTATTGTTGCTTTTTTCCTTCTGCTTGCTTTGGGTTTTATTTCCTTTACTTTCCTAGTTTCTTATGGTAGAAGCTGAGACCATTAATTTGAGAACTTCTTTTCTAATATAGGCAGTTAGTGGTATAAATTTCCCTTGAGATACTATTTTATTGTACCCCAGACATTTTGAAATTCTTAACCCAGTAAGCTGCAATATTTGTAGGTCTTTCTTTGTTTTCTATCTTTCAACTGTCCTTTGTTGACTGATGTCCAGCGTCTTTTAAATTGTTGATTCATGTACTTTTTACAGTTTTTTAGTTATTTTAGGTTGGAGGGTTTAATCCAGTCCTTCTATTTGTCAGGCTTTTAGTTTTGCATAATGTTTCTGAAATAATAAAGAAGAATTTTAGATTTTTAAAGGGCTTTTCAGTTTATAGAGTACTTGTACAGAAAGTTCAATCTTTTGAGATACAAACAGCCAGCTGGCCTCTTTTGAACATGAGTGGTTTGTGCATTGTACAGAAAAATTATTTTTTATCTAGTGGTTATGCATCTGTCAACTTGAGCTCTTCACAGCTTAGTTAGGAAGTCAAAGATAACCAGCTGAAAGAACGTTATGAGCAGCAAACAGCTGCCACAGAACACCCGAGACAAAGCTAGGCAGTTATACTGAATAGGGAAGCAGAAGAGAAGCAGGTATGGACAAGTAAGCAACTAAATATGAAAGCACAACAGTGATTCAGCAGTGAGTACAACATGTCCTTGTGGAGCTTATATTTAATCAGAGGACACATAGAATAATGTACATTTGATATGTCAGGTGCTGGCAATCGGTATAAAAGGAAATAGATTAAAATGAAGGGATAGAGAGTGATGGAGTAGATATTCTTTGATATAATGAGAAATCCTGGATATCAGGAAGTAATTAAAATATGTGTATTGATTTGGTTTTAAAAAGTAGATGACTGTATTTGAAAGTATTTTCATAAAAATGAGTTAATTTTTAAAGGTTTGATTGTTTATGAAGAATACATTTAAGTTATCTGGAAACTTGGCTCACATAGAATTTCCCATTCCCTGACAAATGTTGACTAAATGAGGCATTATTATAATTAGATTTAAAAATGTCCAAAGTAACTTTGATCCAACGATGTATAGTGTCTTCTCCAATCCAGTATCCCCCTCCATGATGTAGAGAAGTTGGACTATAAAACCTTACAGTTGAATTGTATTTTTTAGATTCAAAGTATCAGGAGGGCTTCCTTTGATGCATGTGAGAATTTCTGACCAGAAGATGAAAGATATGCTATGTTTAATGAACAGTATACCCCTACCACAGAAATCATCTGAACTGTTTCCAGAGAGACAGGTAAAGATACAATAAAAATGCTAAATCTCTTTACATTTTTGTTCATGGTGAGTTTCTTTTCGTCTTTCTTTGAGCTACTTTACTTTTCAGTATTTTTTTAGGGCCAGTTTCACTTATGTGATACATTTCAGAAATTTAGTGTTGTTGATTGTGAACAAAACTGCACATGGCATTGAATAAATACAGATTGTAGCTTATTTTCACTACTATTTTATAGTGGTAGAAATCAGTTTTAGGAAACAATGTAAACAAATACATAAATGAAAGAAAAAATGGTCAAATTTGTGAAATGTGTTTTAAATAAAATGAGTTCTAGAAATCTTTAAAATGTTGCAAAATCAAATGATTAGTGTGTAATTTTCTTGTATATTAGACTTAAAAGTTCTAGATCATTTTAATTGGAATTTATCTTTACAACATCAAATAAATGTTGGATTTATACTTAGTTTGAAGTGGAACTTAAGAGAGCCAGCTAATTCTGTTTCCATTTTCCAGGAGGAAACCATGATAAAGATACACAATTAATATTGTCATAGACAGCAGCTAAATGACACATAATGACAAATAGACTTAACCTACTAGAATTGTTAATAGTTCTGCCCTTGTAAATGCAGGTGGTAGTCTTAATAATTAGTAAACTCCAGCTAATCATCGGTTACTTGATTGCTTAATATTCTTGTTAGAAAATGTGTGTATTGTGTCTGTATGTGTCTTTCTATCTCTCCTTATCCTTTACTGTTTTCAGTATTTCTCTTATTTATGTATATTTAATCCTGTTAGACCAGTATGTTAAGAAAACTTCTTGTATTCTTTGCTAGGTAGCCTCAATTCCTGTTATTTCACATAGGACAAAAGGCCTACTTGGTACATCACTATTGCTAGATGGAGTGGAATCAGGTAGGGAAAGTCAAATGTTCTTCATTAAACCAAACCTATAAATTGGTATATAAAAATAAATTTTCAGGAAATAAAGGAATTTTGAGAGTGTTGTTGTAATTTACTGGTTTTTGTTCTAGTTGTACTGCTAACCAACAGTGTGACTTTTAAAGTCACTTTGAAGGCCAAGTTTCTTCATTTGAATGAAAGAATTTTTGTGATTGACAGCCCTTAAGATTCTAAATAAGGTACTTTTTATGCCCCAATTTCTACCTGATCCTTTTCTCTAGCTTGGCCTATCTGATCTTCTTTGATTATGAACTAGAAGGTAAGCTTCAGGAGGACAAGGATCATGGCTGTACTGGTGGTCACTCTGGTGTCCTTAGTGGGTAATAACAGACTGATGTATGATAGGTGATGCCCAATAAATATTTCAGGATATTGAATCAATGAAGTAAAGTTCAAACAGTCACAACTATTAAAAAAAATTGTAGGGTGGTTTGATTTTATATATGATTATGATATGCCAGGTTGGGTCATTTTGTGAGACTTAGAAAAATAATGAAACTGTATTCTGATTCTGAATGTGAAGATTATATTTCATAAATGAATTTTACTTTTAAGAGATTTGATTGTTTTATATAGTTTTCAGTGGATAATTTCTCAAGTCAAATGAACATCTCCTTCTTAGAGTCTGATGATGAGTATTTTGATGCTGAAGATGGAGGCACACAGACTGGTAAAACTATGAGAGGATCAGAACTAAAAAAAGTTGCAGAGGTCCCAAATGAGGAACTCATTAATCTCTTAGTAAAGTTTGAAATTAGAGAGGTATGTATATTTTTTTGTCCATAAAAAAATATGTTCTTAGTACCAGTATTGTCATAAACTATCTCATGCTAGACCCAAACATTAAGTATATTAGAAGCATGGTACTCTATATTCTCTTACTAAGTACACTAAAAATGTGGTTCTCTATTTTCTCTACTACCCAACACACACACACACACACACACACAGTTCCAAGAAAATAAAATGTTATTTTGTAAAACTGACAGAAGAGTGATCTATAGCATATCTTATCTATTGTGAAAAAGCTCATAGTTCTTAATTAGGATTTCCTTTCCTTTAGAAATTTCTATGACATGTTTACTTAATGTTTTTGTTTTTTTACTTTTAAGCTAAATAATATTGATCATTGTCATGTTCATAGTTTGGAAGACTGTAAATAACCTAAATATCTAGCATGTCTTTACAGCCATTAAAAATCATCTAACAAAAGAAAATGCTGATATGGAAAGATATTCTGAATATATTATTGTTTGGGAAAGAAAAACAGGTTATAATACCAAGGATATTATGAGGCCATTTAGAAATTACACACGTGTAATTTTTTTCTTTGATAAATGACTGTGTGGTGGGATTACAGTTTTTCATTTTTGCCTGATTGCTTTTCCATATAGTCTCTTTTTTATAATGAATATGCATTGCTTTGGTAATAAAGCACAAAAGGTATAAGAAAGAGATGTTTCTTATTGACTGCTTTGTATCTCAGTGTGAGATCATGTCCTAAAATAAAATGTCAGAAATACCAGATTTTAATTTTTTTGTACATAAATCTAAGTATTACTGGTATATTTTTTTAGAGAAAGAGATGTTCTTCACCTTTAGCCGTCTTTGACTTCTCTCTTTTACTTATACACCCATCTAAAATATCAGAAAATCCCTTGACTCTAACTTCAAAATACATTCAAATGATTGCTTTTCCCTTCCACTGCTACCACACTGTCCAAGCACTGTCATCTCTTGCCTGGACTATTGTAGTAGCCTTTTAATGATCTCTCTGTTGCCTTGAGGAACTCTGTTCTCCACACAGTAGCAAGAATGATCCTTTTAAAGTGAAAGTCAGATCATGTCATTGCTTTGCTCACAATCCTCCATTGGCTTCCCATCTTGTTCAGAGTAAAGGGTGTTAACCTTAAAAATAAACTGTCAGTTATTTTATCAGCAAAAATAGGTTTGTACAAGAATAATGGAGATTGTAATTCAGGACATACACACTATGGCAAAACCAAATGCAAGTCCTGAGAACAGAAGAGAGGAACACTCTTTTACAGAACAGAGAGTGGACATGGGAGGGGCTGTTATAAACAAAAAGTCTATTGGAGAAAACAGGGAGTTCCAAGAACTGTGGCTTCTCATTGGCTAGTTGTGATAGTCTCTCATTGGCTAGTTGTGATAGTCTCTCATTGGCTGGGCTGTTGGAAAAGAGGACGAAACCCCTTCTTCCTACTGGGTAGTATAGTTGTAGCTAAAGCAGCATGGCAGAGGTCAATCTCTTCCTTCCAGTGGGGTCTGCAATTGACAAGGAGTTGTGGGGCATATAGCTTCCTCTGCTGGCCTCCTGTCACTATGTCAGTGAGATTTAGGTTTAACTTTGTTAAGTTTCACAAGGGCTAAGCCCTTCCTGTACCTGCAAGTCCTTACAAGCTCTACAGGTCACTCCATGTGGCTTTGGTTTCATCCCCATTTCTCTTTTGTTTTGCTTACTCTGCTCCAGCCTCATTAATCCCTTCAATAAATGTCTATCAAGGCCATCATGTACCAAGCAGTTTTAGATATTGGAGCAACGGGCAGTGAGCAAAGTTCTTGCGTCATGGAGTTTATGCTTGTGTTTTATTTTTCCTTCTATATCCCAAAGTACATTCTTTGTCTTCCTGTCTCCTTTGTCTGACTCTTTTTGATTTGATTCTTTACTTCCTTCACTTATTTGTGCAGATGCCGTCTTTTTGGAAAGGCCTAACCACTCAACAGAAGATAGCAACCTTCACTTTCCCCTACTGTCCCTAGAGTGTAAGCTCCTTGTGATAAGGACCTTGTCTGTCTTGGTCACTTCAGTGCCCTTCAGTGGCTGACACAGATTCATACATGGTAGATAATGCCCAATACATATTTTATTGAGTATTGAGTGAATGAACTGAGGTGATGAATAATCCGAATCATCTAAGAAAAAAAATAGTAGTGGTTTTGAAATATTTTTTCCAGTTTGATTTTTTTGCCGTTCTGAACTTTAAAATTTTTTTTAGTGAAGTATATTAAATTTTTCTTTATATCCCAGTTTTAGTGTACATTTAGAAAATTCTCCATTATAAAATATATACCCACAATTTTTTATATTATTTTGTGACTTTATCACATTTATTTAAATTATTGATTAATCTCAAATGTATTTTTATATGTCAGTTATGCACTATCATACTATCTTATGGTTTCTGTTTTTCAGTTGACACTAGTGGTTTTTTTTTAAGTATATAGTAATATTCACTGCTAATAATAATTTTTGCCTTTTTTCAGCATTTGTATTGTTCTGTTTATTATTTCTGCCTAACAGGTTACCCCAAAATGTAGTACCCCAAAACAACTATGGTTGAACTTGGAACAACATGGGTTTGAACTGCACAGGTCTATTTATATATTGATTTTTTTCAATAAATATACTGAAAAAATTTTTGAAGATTTATGACAATTTGTAAAAACATTTTCCTTTCTCTAGCCTACTATGTTGTAAGAGTACAGTGTATAATAAATACACAAAATATGTGTATTGACTATGTTATCAGTAAGGCTGTCAGTCCACAGTAGGCTTTTATGGTTAAGTTTGTGGGGCATCAAAAGTCATAGGCAGATTTTTGATGTGTGGGGGATCTTCACCTCAAATCCCTCATTGTTCAAGGGTTCAACTGTATTTATTTTGCTCAGTTTTGAGGATTAATAATTGTATAATTCCTAGATTGTAATTTTTGCATTAGTCTTTTCACATGGTTGCAGTCAGAGTTGACTGGACCTACAGTGACCTGAAGTCTCAGAAGTGGCTCACTTGTAAGGCTGGTAGTTGATACTAGCTGTTGGCTGGGAACTCAGATTTGACTGTTGACTGAAAAATCTACTCATGGCCTCCCAAGCATGACAGCCTCAGGGTAGTTGAACTTTTTACATGACAACTGGTTTTGCCCAGAGTACGGCCTTTTTTTTTGACATCAGAATCATGATAGTATCACTTCCTCCATAGTCTATTGACTGAAGTAGTCATAAGCCTGTCCAAATTCAAAGGGAAGGAACAAAAGGCCTCCATCTCTTCATGCTCGAAAGAACTTGCATGTTCTAAAAGTGACCACACAGATGTTTTACTTTTCACTGGCTAAATATACTGTCTGTCATTTCCAGAAAAAATTTAAATAGTATGACAGTGAACGTGCTTGTTTTAGTTTTTTATTTAATTGGAATGCTTCTTTTATCACCAAACATGATTTTTGTTTTGAGATACATGTTTAAGAAAATCCTATTGGAGAATCGATTCTTTCTTGTTTTTACTAACTTAGAAAAAGTAAATAATGTAAAATTTCATCATGATTTAAAAAAATTTTTTTTATTACTGTATTATTGATATACACTCTCATGAAGGTTTCGCATGAAAAAACACTGTTGTTATTACATTTACCCATATTATCAAGTCCCCACCCATACCCCAATGCAGTCACTGTCCATCAGTGCAGCAAGATGCCACAGATCCACTATGTGCCTTCTCTGTGCTACACTGTTTTCCCCGTGATCCCCCACACCATGTGTACTAAACATGATACTCGTCAATCCCCTTTTCCCTTCCTCCCCACTCACCCTCCCACACCCCTCCCCTTTGGTAACCACTAGTTCCTTCTTGGAGTCTCTGAGTCAGCTGTTATTTTGTTCCTTCAGTTTTGCTTCATTGTTATACTCATCAAATGAGGGAAATCATTTGGCACCTGTCTTTCTCCACCTGGCTTATTTCACTGAGCATAATATCCTCCAGCTCCATCCATGTTGTTGCAAATGGTAGGATTTGTTTCTTTCTTATGGCTGAATAGTATTCCATTGTGTATATGCCCCACATCTTCTTTATCCATTCATCTACTGATGGACACTTAGGTTGCTTCCATATCTTGGCTATCGTAAAAAGTGCTGCAATAAACATAGGGGTGTATACATCTTTTTGAATCTGAGAAGTTGTATTCTTTGGGTAAATTCCAAGGAGTGGGATTCCCAGGTCAAATGGTATTTCTATTTTTAGTGTTTTGAGGAACCTCCATACTGCTTTCCACAATGGTTGAACTAGCTTACATTCCCACCAGCAGTGTAGGAGGGTTCCCCTTTCTCTGCATCCTCCCCAGCATTTGTTGTTCTTAGTCTTTTCGATGCTGGCCACCCTTACCGGTGTGAGGTGATATCTCATTGTGGTTTTACTTTGCATTTCCCCGTTAATTAGTGATCTGGAGCATCTTTTCATGTGTCTGTTGGCCATCTGAATTTCTTCTTTGGAGAACTGTCTCTTCATATCTTCTGCCCATTTTTTAATCGCATTATTTGCTTTTTGGGTGTTGAGGTGTGTAGGTTCTTTATGTATTTTGGATGTTAACCCCTTGCAGATATGTCACTTACAAATATATTCTCCCATACTGTAGGGTGCCTTTTTGTTCTGTTGATGGTGTTTGCCATACAGAAACTTTTTAGTTTGATGTAGTCCCATGAGTTCATTTTTGCTTTTGTTTCCCTTGCTCAAGGAGATGTGTTCAGGAAGAAGTTGCTCATGCTTATATTCAGGAGATTTTTGCCTATGTTGTCTTCTAAGAGTTTTATGGTTTCATGACTTCCATTCAGGTTTTTGATCCATTTTGAGTTTAATTTTGTGTATAGGGTTAAACAGTAATGCAGTTTCATTCTCTTGCATGAACCTGTCCAGTTTTGCCAAGACCAGCTGTTGAAGGGGCTGTCATTTCCCCATTGTATGTCCATGGCTC